AAACATGAAATCGGTCGGTAATCAACAACTAATTAATATATAGAGTACTAGTTAATGTGCTCACCAACAAAGTCCAAAACTGGCACGAAGAAATTGTATTGTATCCACGGGTCGTCAATAGTTTACCAGCTGATTATAACCCATGGAGATAGCTAAATTCAAACAGAACAATCTTCCCAAAGTTTTATCCTAGCACATGGAGTCGTATTCAAAAGATTCTACTTAGATAACTTTATCCTTTCACTTAGAATTTACCGAAGTTGATTACTTACTTACTTACTTACGCCTGTTACCCCTCGTCGAGGAGCATAGGCCGCTCACCAGCATTCTCCATCCAACTCTGTCCTGAGCCTTCCTTTCCAGTTCTTTCCAGTTGCTATTCATCCTTTTCATATCGGCTTCTATTTCCCGGCGTAGTGTGTTCTTTGGCCTTCCTCTTTTCCGCTTCCCTTCCGGATTCCAAGTTATGGATTGAGTCGTGATGCACATTGGTGATTTCCTTAATGTATGTCCGATCCACTTCCAACGTCTTTTCCTTATTTCCTCTTCAGCTGGAAGCTGGTTTGTCCTCTCCCATAAAACGCTGTTGCTGATAGTATCCGGCCAATGGATGTTGAGTATTTTGCGTAGACAACTGTTTATAAATACTTGTACCTTCCTGATGATGGCTTTCGTAGTTCTCCACGTTTCAGCTCCATACAGTAGGACTGTCTTGACGTTCGTATTAAAGATTCTGACCTTGAAATTGGTTGAGAGTTGTTTTGAGTTCCATATGTTCTGCAATTGTAGAAATGCTGCCCTTGCTTTGCCAATCCTTGCCTTTACATCTGCATCCGATCCTCCTTGTTTATCAACGATGCTCCCCAGGTACTTGAATGTTTCCACCTCTTCCAGAGTTTCGCCATCAAGTGTGGTTGGGTCGGTGTTCTCCGTGTTGCATTTGAGAATCTTGCTTTTTCCTTTGTGAATGTGGAGGCCTATCGATGCGGAGGCTGCTGCTACATTTGCTGTCTTCATCTGCATTTGGTCGTGTGTATGAGAGAGGAGGGCTAGGTCATCTGCGAAGTCCAAATCATCTAATTGATTCTGAGAAGTCCATTGTATTCCGTATTTCCCTTCAGATGTCGAATTCGTCATAATCCAGTCAATCACTAGAAGGAAGAGAAATGGGGAGAGTAGACAGCCTTGTCTGACTCCGGTCCTTACTGGAAATGCATTTGTCAGCTGTCCTCCATGCACCACTTTGCACTGTAATCCATCGTATGAGTTTTGGATAATGTTGACGATCTTCTGAGGAACTCCATAGTGTCGAAGAAGTTTCCACAATGTTCTCCTATCCACACTGTCAAACGCCTTCTCATAGTCGATGAAGTTGACGTATAGTGATGAGTTCCACTCAACTGATTGTTCAACGATGATCCGTAGTGTCGCAATCTGGTCTGTGCACGACCGATCCTTACGGAATCCAGCCTGATGATCCCTAAGTTCGGCGTCTACTGCGTCTTTCATCCGATTCAGCAGCACTCTGTTGAAAACTTTTCCTGGTACTGATAACAAACTGATGCCTCTGTAGTTCTCACATTGCCTCAGATCTCCTTTCTTTGGTATCTTGATGAGATATCCTTCTTTCCAGTCCGTTGGCACTTGTTCCTCTTCCCAAATCTTTTTGAATAGAAGGTGAAGCATGTTTGCAGTTATTTCAATGTCTGACTTCAGTGCTTCTGCTGGTATATTGTCAGGTCCTGCCGCCTTCCCACTTTTGATTTGTCTGATGGCCATCTTGACTTCTTCGATCGTTGGTGGAGTGACATCTATTGGAAGGTCAGTGTGGGCTGCTTCGATGTTCGGTGGATTCGATGGGGCTGGTCTATTCAGCAGTTCCTCAAAGTATTCTGTCCATCTTTTCCTCTGTTCCTGAATCTCAGTGATTGTCTTTCCTTCTTTGTCTTTGACTGGTCTCTCTGGTTTGCTATATCTCCCTGCCAATTTCTTCGTTGTATCATATAGTTGTTTCATATTCCCTTCTCTTGCAGCTTTTTCCGCCGCCGTTGCTAGTTCTCCCATGTATTTCTGCTTGTCGGCTTTAATGCTTTTCTTCACTTCTCTGTTTGCTTCTGCGTAGTCTGCTTGTGCTTTGACTTTCTCTGCTCGTGTTCGGCTGTTGTTAATTGCTAGTTTCTTGTTCTTCCTTTCTTGAAGTTTGTCCAGGGTCCCCATAGCGATCCATTCCTTGTGATGGTGCTTCTTAGGACCAAGAACCTCCTGACACGTTGAAGTTAGGGCTTCTTTTATCCCTTTCCAGTTGTCCTCCAAAGTAGTTTCTTGTTCTTTCAGTAGATCCTGTAGAGCTTGGAACCTGTTGTTGAGAGTTATCTTGAATTCTTGGAGCTTGTCAGCATCTCGAAGGAAGGCTGTATTAAACCTTTGTAGTGCTGTTTGTCCAGTTGTCCAGTCTTTCTTTAGCTTCAGTCTCATCTTGGCCACAACCAGGTGGTGATCTGAAGCTATGTCAGCTCCTCTCCGGGTTCTCACATCTTCCATTGATCTTCGGAATTTTTTTTTGTTGATACAGATGTGATCAATCTGGTTCTCTGTGGTGTGGTCCGGTGAGATCCATGTAGCTGTGTGTATGCGTTTGTGTGGGAATATTGTGCCGCCTATAATCAATTTGTTGAAAGCACATAGGTTTGCAAGTCTCTCCCCATTTTCATTTCTCTCTCCTAGTCCATGTCGTCCAATTACATCTTCATATCCTGTGTTGTCCACTCCAACTTTAGCATTTAGATCTCCCATCAGGATGGTGAGGTCCTTTCGTGAGCACTTTGCTATAATTGATTGCAGCCTTTCATAGAACTGATCTTTATCATCGTCGTTGCTATCATTGGTGGGTGCATAACATTGGATAACATTCATTGTGATCCCTTGCTTCTTTGTTCTGAATGATGCTTTGATTATCCTGGGTCCATGAGATTCCCATCCCACAAGTGCATTTCGTGCTTCTCTGGACAGCATTAGAGCAACTCCCTGAGTGTGTGGCGCATTTTCCCCTTCGTGACCGGAGTACAGCAGCATCTCTCCTGTACCTAGCCTTTGTTGTCCAGTTTGTGTCCAATGGGTTTCGCTGATTCCGAGTACTGCCAAGTTGTATCTCCTCATTTCCATTGCTATTTGGCTGGTCTTTCCTGTTTCCCACATTGTTCGGACGTTCCATGTACCTATAAAGAGTGTTGCTCTGGTTGTTAGAAGGTGCATCGGTCTCGTGACTTCCGAAGAATTTCGGCTTTCATCATGAGACGTAATAATTATTCCTTCAACTCCCAGGGCAGAGTTTAAATGGTTTGGATTATTTTTTCTGGTTAGCGTTTCTTTAGCGAGTTAGCTTTTCTACGGGATGGGGTCGCTAACCCCATGCCCAACCCTCCTCCTTTACCCGGGCTTGGGACCGGCAGTAACTCTAGAAGAGCTACAGGCGGAGTTCGAAGTTGATTATGGATAAATAATTGATGGAACTGCTCAGTAACACAGCGCGGACTAGTATTCTCAGAACTGAGTTACACAAGCTGTATATATGATAAAAAATTAACGGGATTCAGTAGTTATTCAAAGACTAGATAAACATAAAATTGGTTATTAAGATCTCAGACCTACAGCTCAGTAGAGGCACGATGGTAATGTCTCAGATTTTGAGACTGACTATTGTGGGTCGAAATCTGTGATGAAGCACCAGTTCTCTCGAGATAATAGATAATTCTTGACGACCAACCCCAACTAGTATGATGCCTAAATCTAAATGTTCCTACAAACTACCTCCAACCACCTAACATCTCGATAGGTTATACTACTCCTGGATATTGAAACTAAAGAGTGAGTGAAATAGTTTTTGAACCTATAACCACTAGTTCATAATTTATTTTATTAATAGTCAACTAGGTACTATTTGACTTTAACCAAAATCATGTGGTAAGATGAACACTAGCGTTTAGGAAACCAACTAATAGATTGTTGTACCTTGGTTAGTAAAAGAAAACTTGTAATGAGTCTGTGAAAATGCCATAATATCAAGTGATTTAGAATCGAGATCTAGATGATCAAAGTGAAGTCTTACTGTAAACTCTAAACTACCAGATATGCTCAACATCAGCTCTCAAATGTTATGGACTGCTTTGTTTATAATTTTCATCTTTCTTATAAATTACTTACTCATCTGTTATTAATGAAAGGTGATCTCGTTAGAATGTTTGAGTCATATATTTCGCCTTACTAATTGAGAAAATTATATTGCAACCATAACAGCCAATTCTATACTACCTTTTCACAACTTTAAAATTAGTTAAGAAGGGGTTTTTGTGGATATTTTAGTATTTTCATAGTTGAAATCATGAGTCAATTGAGGAGTCCCATAATGGGACGAAACGGTGCTTTCAGGTTTTCCATGGCGGTCTAGCTTCAATTGACTTATGATTCCAACTTTAAATTTAGTGTTAGGGACAAATGATTCAAAAAATAAAACAATCGTCAATATCTCTTTTAATCACTGCTTGTTTAAGTGTGATCAGATCGATAAATGAATAGTGTTGGTAGGAGTAGTGGAGAGAACCTTCAATGAAGAAGACAAATGGAATAGATAGGTATAACATAGTTTGTGTTAACTTCTAACAATTGTTAGAACAAATAAATAATAATAATTCTCATAGTTGAAAGCGTGAGTCAATTGAAGCTAGACCACTATGGAAAACCTGGAAGCACTGGATGGCCGTTTCGTTCTATTATGGGACTCCTCAGCAGTGCACACCTACGATCCCGCACTCGCGAGATTCGAACCCAGGACTTACCAGTCTCGAGCCAGAGCCCTTAACCGATAGACCACTGAGCCGGCCGGCATCCAACAGTGTTAATGACTAACTTCAACCAATCCACGAAGTTGAGCAACCGTTCACCAATTGTCTTCAGTGAATATATTAATAGTTTATTAATAAGTAATGCACAGCTATTTAACTTACTTAAAAGTTTCCATTTCAGCCAATTTCTCTTTAATTCCATAATTTCTTTTAAAACTAGACGTTGAATGAATACTTGGACTATGAGTTGAATTAAGTGATAATAAAGAACTATGATGATGAATAGTTTTCTCTGATCCATAACCTGATTCAGCAATACGATGTCGTTCAATAGCAGATATCCAAGTATAACGTTCTTCTTGACATAATCCACGTAGATACCAGATAACATCACCGGCGCGTACCTAAGAAATAACAGTAAATTAAGTTGACTAAATCTATCAAATTTCAGTCCATAATATTTCAAAAACTATTATGTATGCTGGAAATATTCTTCATAGTGGAACCAAGTCTAATTGAGCTTTACTGATAAGCTATCGAAAAATGTTTATACATTGGATAAATTTGGATAGTTGTTTCGTTGGCATTTTCAACTCTTCCAAATTGACCATATACATAAGGGATTGAATTATTTTTCTGGTTAGCGTTTTTTTGGCGAGTTAGTTTTTCTACGGGATGTGGCCGCTAACCCCATGCCCGACCCTCCTCCTTTACCCGGGCTTGGGACCGGCAGTAACTCTAGAAGAGCTACAGGCGGAGTGAGAATCTTCAATAAGAACGTCAAGACAGTCCTACTGTACAGAGCTGAAACGTGGAGAACTACGAAAGCCATCATCCAGAAAATACAAGTATTTATAAACAGTTGTTTACGCAAAATACTCAACATTCACTGGCCGGATACTATCAGCAACAGTGTTTTATGGGAGAGGACAAACCAGCTTGCAGCTGAAAAGGAAATTAGGAAAAGACGTTGGAATTGGATAGGACATGCATTGAGGAAATCACCAGACTGCATCACGAGGCCAGCCCTATCTTGGAATCCGGAAGGGATGCAGAAAAGAGGAAAGCCAAATTACACATTACGCCGGGAAATAGAATCAAATATGAAAAGGATGAATGTTAACTGGAACGAAATGGAAAGGATTGTCCAGGACAGGGTTGGATGGAGAATGCTAGTGGGCAGCCTATGCTCCTCCACGAGGGGTAACAGGCGTAAGTAAGTAAGTATACGGGATTAAATTCTAAAAACATTCGGTTGCATAGTGAACACCATACTGTTAAGCTAATGAGTCAAAAATATCTAAGGATTCACGTTTATTAATTTCAGTCAATTCAAATTATATCGTCCCATTCTATTTTAGCCAATATTATTGATGAGTTGTTGCCCTACTATCAATCGAATAATTTGATTCATAGATATGTTAGAAAAAAATAACTATGTTAACAAAGCCTTATTTAGCAAATGGTAAAGTTGTGCTTGATTGATCTTGACGACGTCCCCGAATGCTCTGGTACGGCCGAGAGTAAGGAGGGCTTGCTCTCCCTCTCGAAATGCTCTCACATGGCCACACGTATATAGCCTCTGCCACACAAGTCCTACTCACTGCCTTCTCCTTAAGGGGGTGTTCTCTACGACACTGAGAGGATGAAAAGCGAATGTCTGGAGCTCTAACCGGGTTGTTGGACACGGAAAGTTCACCTAGGAGAGTTGAAAAACCCTCATTCCAAACCAATGGTGCACACGGACTCCAGTATCCTGAGGGAACAACAGGCGTATGAATCAATCGTTGGTCACCGGCTACCATGGGACTGCATCTCCTTACGACGCTCCACTACCTTGTGGATCAGACCTTCATGTCAAAGGCTCCGGGTGTGGCTCCCTAAGAAAACTACCTGCTTCAGTTTGGGCACTTGAGCAGTATCACAGCCCTCACACAAATCGAATGAGATTTGTGCGGCGCATATGTAACTGGTGCCACTTTGTACCAATATTTATGTGTTTGAATAAATAAATAAATAAATAATGCTGGTCTTGACGACTCAGAGTTATAATTTAATTCGGAAACATTTTAACTCTTCACGTAATAATAATACGACAATGTTTTACTGTTTATTTATAATTCAATTCAATAACTGATCAAAATACTGTACATTTAACTCCTGTACGAAGACAATTAATACTACTACTATCTGATTGTCTAAAATGATCATTATGTGAATAAACAACCTAATTACTAAGATTCATGTACTTTATTTTATATCCAAGTGATAATAAGATTAATTATGATTACAAATCAATTTTATGATCAAGAATTGATGATAATTAAACGGTAATGACCTTAAGAAAGAAAGATCTAATTTAATCTTCTACACACAAAAAAAATATATAACACATGATGACGTTGAACTGAAACTATCAAGTACAAATACGAATTTGATTTAAAAGAAAAAAATATATCAGAAAAATAAGTTAACTATTTCAAGTACTCAGATCATGATCCAATCAATCAAAACTTGGAAACACTGGATGGCCGTTTTGTCTTAGTATAGGACTCCTCGATAATAAGCATACACAATCTAATAAATCAGACTCTTATCCAGGACCTTTGATCTCACGTGAGAACGCTTCATCTCTAGACCACAGAACCGGAATTCAAAGGCGCTAGTGCCTAACTTCAACCAATTTTAGATATTGCGCGACCATCTTTCATTGACTTCGGCGGGTAACTGCCTCGCACCCGACAAGGTTGAGCTCCACGTCTCACCAAAAATTCGAGAATTACGTCTCGAAGCTAGGCACTAGTGATCACATAATAACTGTAAGTATAGGGTTGTGAAGAATGTGATGATCTCAATAAAAACCCAATAATCTGCACAATCCTAAACAAATATTTCAAGCACTCAAAATTAATAACTACGAGTTACAGATACAGTTATTATTTAATTGACTATATCAACGTAGAGAAGAACTGATATTAGATTGATAGAAAATAAAGCATCCAAAGAATGTCAATCATCGAGTCAAAGGTTCAAGATGCAATTAACTTCATTCAATACCCCAGCCGATATATAAGTACAATGAAAATACCAGACTGAAACCGTCTAATTACGCAAACATCTATATAGCTACAAAGTTACAAAGAAAATTTACCGTTGTAGATTAAAATTTATAAAACAAAAGAGCTAAACATTAATAAATCAAATTTAAGATAAACTGTATAATAATGCTATTAAAATAATAACAGAAGTGTGTACCTTCTTAACAAATAATAAGCAAACGACCATTCATGTAGAAAAAAAGCCATAAACAAATAAGGTATATTTTTATAGAGTTGAGATCGTGAGTCAATTGAAGTTAGACCACCATCGAAAACCTGGAAGCACTGGACGGCCGTTTCGCCCAATTATGAGACTCCTCAGCAATGCGCATCCACGATCCCGACTGGCGAGATTCCAACCCAGGACCTACCAGTTTCGCGCAAGAGCACTTAACCGATAGACCACTAAACCGGCATCCAACGGTGTTAATGTCTAACTTCAACCAATCCACGAAATTCAGCAACCATTCACCAATGTCATCAGTGAGTTGATATCTCCCAACAGACATGGTTGAACTCCACTGGTTACTGCTTCTAACTAAAACTCCAGGAAATACCTCATGGAGACAGTCACTAGTGAGCACATGATCATTATCAGAAGGGGTTTGGTGGAGATTTTAGTAATTTTATAGAGTTGAGATCATGAGTCGATCGAAGCTAAAGTGTACCAACTCAAATCAATGGATTACTACTTAAAATTCTTAAACAAATGAAAATAATCAATGTACCATTTATATACCTTTTCTAGTTTAAGAATTCCGAATGCTACAAAGTTCAATCATAAAATATTCGATGAAAATAAATTACTTTACCCTTACACCATAAATAAACCACATGAAATGAGATAAGCAAATTAGCGACTAGTATAAATATGTATCGTTTAAATTTATCCAGTTCAACAATGATAAAGGGAATAAGATAACCTTATGACAACTACTATTGGTAGAATTCAGCACAAGCATTTTGTTCTACCCGCTACTATTCATAAGATTTAGCTGTTAGTAAAATTGTTGGTGACTAATAAGTTAAAACCAGTCAGTTTTCAATCATCCGACCATAGTTTTAAATCTCAATTCATTTAATTTGGTTTAGACGGTCGGATAACATTTATTAAGACCCAAACACAAAATAAACTGGCCGAATCGTGCTTATACTTGGTCAGTCACCAAAAACATAGAACATGGAACATATGTGCATACATTCAAATTGCTATACTAACTCAGTGCAGTCAGATGAAATTATCATAACGAATGCCAGAGTAGTAGAAATGGTAATGATATAGTACATTTTACATAGCTAATAATTTACAAAACTTTATAATTTATAGTTTTGGTGATGAAGACCTAGTTGAAAACCAACAGACTTCTGAGTTATAACAATCATCTACTTTCAATTTACGATGTAATATAAAAATTAAAAAACCTAAACGAAAATGTGTTGATTAATTACTAAACTCACCTCAAAACGACATTCATCATATTCATGAATCTTAATATAGGCATTTTTTATACGAACAGAACCTCTAGAGCCTAAATTCAAATCATCTGAATTACGATAATAGGTTAGAAAGCCATCAGACAGGACAAAATAACGTTCCTGCCAACCATGTAACAAATTAGTCCATTTGCTAAGATAACCACGAACAGCTAGTGGAGCCCATAATTCGCCATCTAACAAGCCAGCATCATCGTCGTCTGAAATACCTATAGCGCTAATATTTTCCTGACTTGAAGATTGAATAGCTTTAGCCATACATGAACTAATAGTATGAGTGTTCGATGTGTTAGGAAGAGAAGTCATTGGACTGGAACCACATGTAGATGTTGGAATATTATGGTGCATCAAAAATAAGGTCAATGAATGAAGTATCTAGAAATATAAAAAAATGAGATTATTGATTGAGCAATACCTAAAAATGGTTTGGAAAACTCTAGTATACCCTATAAAATAAATAAAAGTGATCTAGACAATACAACAAATGAATCTCGTTCAAATTCGAACTGACTAATGGACTAACTGTTTAATACTCTATAAAATAAAAAGTGTGCATACAAGACATATTCGCTTTTGGATTTGTGAACTTGCATTGAGTTGTCATTTTATTGCGGTGCATCAGAGACGATTCATGTATTTTTATATATGGAAAGTGGCTAAAATCTATCACTTAAACTACAAAAATACTGACAGTTAGTGTGTTCAGTCCTTATTAAATCTTCTGATATTACTAATGGTAATAAAGACATTTGTCACAAGCTTGTCTAGCATTCTTAGATTTCTGGACAGATGTTTCTCTTCTCCCTTTAAAATGACCTGGAAGATGTCACCTTGATAGGAACCCTTATGGAACTAAAGAACAAAGTTTCTGTTGCAATAAATGCAGCGACTTTAACATAACATTTGCAGAAATATAATCAATCAAAAATCGACAAGCCAGTAATCCAACCGGAAAACTTCTGAAATACTATAACTGAATCTGTTAAAGTAAGTAATAAACAAACCACTTTCTGCATGCATCTCAAAATTATCAAGGTAACTCTGCAATGATTTGATATTGAGGTTATGAGTATGGTTTATTAAAACCTGTACAATTATTAATACCTACATCAGTATTTTCCGTTTATTTAAATTTAGAACTAGCTGGTTTTTGAATTTTTTGTTTACAGGGCCAGTTACACCTATTTCTTGAAAATACATAGTTGGCAAAAAGTAAACACGCAATCAATAGTTGAGTAGCACCGGTGCTATCCACATATATTGGTATTCAGTGTAGCGTTTTCCTTTGTACAACGATGAGTCAGAAGTTAACATAGTATTAAAAGATAAGTCAATAGGATTATTGCTGAACACAGAACTTATTGACGCATACCATTACCCATTGTTGGATAATGTTGTCGGGAGAAACTTCAGAACCAGTTGAATAGTTCAAGTGGAAGACTCAAATGAAATTTTTGTTACCTTTGACGCAATCGTGCATCTGAAACCAAGATATAATTTAAGACAAACCTACAAAGTAGTCGAAGATTGTCAGTATTAAAGTAAAAAAATTGATTTTCCGATAACTGATCACTAATTTTAGTTCTTGTTTTATTAACTATATCAATAAAAATTTGATCTCCATAAAATTTGATCTAAATTACTTTGATACATTCATGCAACTGTATAGTAAATAAAACTAACACTTCAAAGAGAAACTTTGTGATGTTGCAAAACTTCGTAGTGAGGAAACTTACAAAAACAACTACCCAAAACATTCGACATATTTAATTTATACAATACAAGGACCGATAATTTTGTTGTCCACAGAAGAATAACAATGAAGATTTACAAACCATTTAACCCCAACAAATAATAGACATATAGCGTTTTAAATAATAAAAACAAACGGAAACAAGATAAGTTGTAAGAAAACAGTGTCTCGAATAGTAAAATCACCTGAAAACTGTCTGTCTAGCAGTAGCGTATTACCATCAGAATGCGCTCTGATGTATTTTCAATCTACAATCAGTTTCAGTTTCGTTTACAAGGTCAGAATCCTAAAGGAACAAGTTCATACTATTAATTATGCTCTCCTGATTAACCTTTTATTATGCCTGGAGGTTCATTGTGTTGAGGAAGGATTTGGAATGAAGTGTTCACCAATGAGAATCTGAAAAAGAAATTGTTGAAAGATATTCAGATTAGAAAAAAGGAAAGCTCCACGATGATCCGATAAGCTCACCAGTTTTATTTATGAAACTAGTTGACAGCAGCCTGCAGTAAAATAAGTATGAAATCAAATAAATGTGAAAACGTATGGTGGCTTTTGGGCATGGTCGAAAAGTCATGTCATTGATTCTCGCTTATGTGTTACATGTTGTCGCGGATTTCTAACGTCGTTTTTTGTCGGCTAATCACAGTATTTTTCCGTCACATGTTAATTTTTGTAATATTTATGCGTTTTACATGGCGTTTATTGCAGTCTATTGGTTGCCTGACGTATTTGGAGCTGACAACCTGGATGAATGTTTAGTCAGCCTAACTTGGTAATTTGTAACAACGCAAACTCAGGCAAGTGAAATTCATCGTTTATCAAGTCAAAAATACACCAAAATTACAGTTTCAAGCAAAAACAAGCTGTAGAATAATTTACATATGACTTACCTCCCTTATTATGGTAGTGACCCAAACAACCAATAAAGTGGAAATAAAAGCGAAAAAAGGGGGAATAAAGCGGACGAAAGCGTAAATAAAGGGGAAATGTCGCTTTTTCGCCTGCACGTGAGGGACAGATTTGTAAGCACACAACATGATTTTTATCCTTCATTCCTATTACAGATGGCCATGTTGACGCGTTTAATGAATGATGATCCTAAAACCTCCATGCGATATCTTCTGTCCTACATCATGGAACCTGAAGTCGCCATTAATTTCACGTTACTTGGTACTTCATCAAAACGAGCGATTCAGAAGTCCCGGTTTTATGGCTGCGTACGAAGTAAGATAAATAAGGTTTTTAAACTTCAGGTGCACTTACTAATCGATCCCTGTCAACATCTGTCACTGAGAAAGACCTTGCGAAACTATATGACATGGCTACACAAAGTTATTTTCACGACATGAGAAACAAAGTACAGAAGAGTCATCGACGGAAGAAAGAACACGTACGTACGACTTTAAAGTGATTATTGTTTTCCCGTTATCTATAGGTAGAGTCTTCCGTGTTTAAGGATATAACCGTAAGTTCAGCTTCAAGTACCTTGTTGTGCAAAACAAGTTTCCTAGATATAGTAACGTTCTTCTTCATTACATTTTAGAATTCACAAGAATTATTTGAGTCTCCATAGTTCAAAAGGCCTGATGGAAAGAAACAATATGTGAAATATCTGGTCCGTGACAATTGCAATTACATCAGGAACATTGATGCTCTACCATCTGCCAAGTGCTCATGACGTTGTACAATAATAAGCTTTTTGTTTTCAATAAAAATTTGGAACTTATACCATATATTACGTACATTACATTATTCGTGTGCTGTGTTGTGGGAATGAAGGTGAACACAGAAGCGTTTTAAAAGTGGGCGCTTAATTACATCGGTGTGCATGTAGTAGAAAAGTAGACAATTCGTCGGATATTTAGGGTGCAAATCGGAAATTCGTCGAATATTTAAGGTAAAAGTCGGCAATTTAGCGACATTTGAAAAACAGAGCGACAAAAAGGGGAAATTTCGCTTTATTTCCCCTTTATTGGTTGTATGGGGATGAACGTGGGTGTTAGTAGTTGTTTATAAATTGTAATTGAGAGTCAAACTATTCATGAATCTTGTAATGGTAATAATAATCATTCCATGCGACGTTCCTAATGGAAGTTTGTTTTTCTATAGCAGGGCAACAAAGAGTAAACGCACTGGAAATAGAGGAAGAAGCCCTGAACGAGCAGAACAATGAATAAAACTATTCTGTAGAAAGTTTCCCCTTTTGCACTCAACCGTGTCTTTCAATTTTAAAAATATATATGTTGTACCAGTGCATCGTGTTCTTACTTTGACGGCACTTACCGGTCCTCACTGTAGTGTTGTTGTTTCAGATCGCTCCTGCTTCAAAGTGGACATCAATATATAACGTGCTACATTACGATATGAACTATTAATATACAGCCGTAAACAGTTTAATCCATGATAAGTATCATCGTTGTTAACTGGACCGATATGTTATTACGTAATGTGAGAAAAAAATATGTTAGTAACAATTGGCGTTAATAGATTTTTCTGTCCGCTTTCTGAATTTATACAGAAATTGTGTAGAACATTACTGTAAGTGCCACATAAATTAGCCAAATACTCTTCTTAAGTAAAGCGATGCGTGTTTGTTATGAGCATGGTAACTAAAACATGTAGATAATACTATTTTACGATGTCTCGTATAGGGTTAAAATATAAATTTCTGCTAACAGAATCCGAAATCACTGACTAAATCATAAACAAAGTGTTAGTGCATGTTGACGGGTAATCGCTAAATAGTGGTTACCAGTTATTTCATTATTGTATGTAAACAGTATTATGAACGGTGTAATTGGATTTTTCTCAAATTTCATATAACTAATTAAAGTTTGTGAGTCCCTTCGTTTGGTGCCTGAAGTTTGTTTGTTAATACCGAATAACTAGATGAAATTGTAGGAAGGTTAGAAAATGAAGAGCACTGTTTACAGCAAGTAAAACACTTACAGGTACATCCTATCAATTGCTATTTCATTTACTTATGGAATTTGATACTGATAACGAAGTTTAATCTTTTCTTTCACGATTGATTTGTTGTTTTTCAGAATTGCATTGGGCAAGCTATCCATACATTTGGTTATACAACTTATGACTTCTGTCAACTAATTGAAAGGCTCAAATCTTTGTAATAATCAAGTCTATGCAGGTGAACAACTTGGCAAATTTCTTAATATGGAAGTTTATGCGGAGAAACAATTCACACATTGACGATAACTGTGTTTTGTATTGACCCTACCGCGTTTATTCATCTAATACGTTATCTAAATATAATATAAATATAACAACTGTAGTTTTTCGCACTTTAAATCTTTTCAGTATGTGTATAGTCTAGTTAGGTACTAATACTACTTTCATAATAGACGTTGTCCGATAACGGTAAATTTATCGTTTGATTGCCTAGTCTGTAAGATCTTACGTGAAAATCACATCACTATCTACACTGACCCATCGTATCGCGACAAATAACAATACTTAGTACTTCTGAAGAACACATTTATGCTTGGGATAGAATAATATATTTAATGTGAATATAAATAAGTTAAACATAATGAGCGCGTCTGCAACACTGACTCATGCCATTCGATTGAATGAATATCTCCACGTTCACCACTTCCGACCTTCTCCAAGTGTTACATCCTTTTAGTTATTATATGCTTGATTCCGGAGACCATGTGATTAGGAAACAATGCCACTCCAATTATTCATCCGAATATGCTGATCGTAAATAGGACTGCAGGAAGAGAAATGTTTGAGAAATGGCAGTCTTACCTAATTATTGATTTTTAAGTGATAATTGTCTACTTTTTTCTCCACCACCATGGCGAAGTGTTCACCATATTTTTCAACCATCTGTTGTTTATGAACTTTCTGGCTTCTTTGGATTCGTATATACTCTTCACTCCGTCTGGGTAATGATGTTGTATTATAATGGAAGTTATGCGTGCTATTTAACTTCCATCGGCTGCATGGTCTAAGTATGTGATGAGCTAATTAGTTTATTTCGTAGTTGATTAAGCTTACCTGTAAGAGTTGGTCTTTTTACATATGTCAGTATTATATGACGTCAGGGATATCGACAAGCCATAAATGTTCGACAATTACACTCGCAAGTGCCTGCATCTAGTTCATAACACCACAAAACTGTATTTAAATCGCACGTCCTTTAGCAGTTTACTTTCGCCGTGAATGTTATGTGTACGGGTGGTCTGAAAAGGGATGGAATTATGCATCCATACTTTTTGGAACTCCTTAAACACACCATGGAATTCAATCCAGTTTCCAAAACGCCTGCTCAGTATTATGCGTTGAAACGCCTCACTTAAGTCGACCGAAATGTTTCTGGAACATAAATTACCACAAACATTACTCGTTAATTACTGAAAAAACAGCCATTTCATGCGATAATACTCCAGTAACTGAAGAAAGGACTACAAGCATTTAGGAATTACGGGTTACTCGTCATGTCGTCCTAATTCTTGCAGAAAACAAGGATTCACACAAATTCATAGTATCTTTAACTGATAATTTATAATGAATACGCAGTTTTGCGGACCCTAACGAATTTTAAACAAGGAGAGTGAGGTTCAGTAGGGTAATTGGTATCCCAGGTCAAGTTACGTAGCAACAAAAGAGCCAAATTGTACACTACAAAACACAGTAAGCACAATAAACGCTTTTGGCATTGATTTTGTGAACTTACTACAGCCAAAAAAGACGCAAATACAAGAAAACCTGATATTCGTGCAACCCAGAGGACAACCAACCGACCCACAACAAATCAAATACGGAATGACCGCCTCGTGTCAGGCCGTTCAAGGTCGCAAAAAGGAAACGGCGGGCAGGTTTGAAAACGCACTGACTTATTTACCTTGCCTGGCTTTTGACAATAAACTGCCAAAGACACCCAACTAAGCGTGGTTCAGTTTTTATATCAGTTAAAAAATTCATAAGCTTTGGCAAATGGATGAGTAACCACTGATACTATGAATAAAAACAGACAGCAGACAGCATTTTGTGCAGTAAATGAGTATAATGGTTTGTATATAACTTTTCACATTATATACTAATCTGAACGACCTGACTGCTCCCTAGAATGACTCTTGGTTTTTTGAGGATTCTATTGATGTAGATACGACATAAGGTTTGCATATAGGAAGACTATTAGTAAAAGTATCCTTGATGTAGGCACGCCTCGCCCGACCTGTTCTAAAAGCATTGTTGTTTCCACGCTCTTTAATAATGATGGCCTTATAATCCTGCTTATACTGTACATGGACTGTCATTAGTAGATGGCATGGACAGTAGTAACCTGTCTCTTATGGACATTCTTGTGTTTTCTATTAGCTGATGAGGAATTTAACCACGTCCTTGTCATCTGAGAAGCATTATTTCGAGTACAATTTCTGATACAATCTAATACTATCATTTTTCTATCTGATGTAAAAACCCTCCAATTTAACCAGCTGTAATAAATAACATTCTATATTCCGCCTAATGGTTCATCTAGTCCCTAAAATAACTAAGACAATTTCTGCAATCTAATCGCAGTCGGTGAGGACAACCTTTAATTGTCAATATAAGGTCTCTGGATATCCAATGCTTATCAACGATGCTAACTTTAAAGCTTTTTTATATGAGGATTTCCAGGCTATCTAAGCCTAGAGTTAGTAATGAAAGGGTCTTAAGATATATCTAAAAGATGAGTGATGTATGAAATACATTACCTAAGACGGCTGTTTGATGTGACGGGTGCCTAGCATGGAGTAGTGATTTAGTGCGGATGTATGACCGAACACCTTCAGTAAAACCATTGAGGTTAGAATCAATTTGGAAGGCTTACAGGGCTATTAATTTAGGGTATATGTATACTGCTGCACCTCACTCTCACTCCGAGTGGAGTATTGAAGACCCTGAAATGTGACCGCCACAAAGGTTAAACCCAACTCATGCGCTGTTAGTCAAATACCTCTAATAACTTGTTGTGTCCAACTCCACCTGCTCTCTCGTCCTTACTCTGTGAAGCTGTGTCGTAGGCAATAATAAGAAACATGCAGTAAAAATTTACATTTGACGTAATAGTCATCAGTTTTTCATGCTTTGCAGTAGTCCTAAAGAACAAAGAAGTGATGTTGTAGCTGCCTGTTGAATGAATCTGTGGTTACGTATGCGAGCAAACTATGCGGGAAAAGCCATGCCACAGTGAAAAACTTACACACAAAAATTTGCTTACTGTGCTTTTTCGAAGAAAGCAAATGCACTTCAACATAAACACAAACATAAACAGCACTTATGTACCCATAAAGTGTTTGTGAATAATAATAATAATCCGTAGAATACAAGAAATAAGGTAGAGCATAAGTTGCTCAAATGACCCACGAGCAGTAATCATCCAGATATTTTGTGAACTTTCGAGTTCTTCCATAGTTAGTTGTTTCAAGGCTAACGACAAATATCAGCGGTCCTCAACTATCATGAAATACATCATGATTTTGGGCAATGTGTTTTTCGATTGGTTAGTAATGAAATAAACAGAGTAAAGTTTTTCTTCTGGGTAGGTGATTTTTCTCTTCTTTTCGATGCTAACAGTTGCATTGTTATCAATGATTCGGTTACCAAGTTTTTGGCATTATAAGTTGCGACGTACTGAAACACCTGTGCCAAACGTTTGGAGTGTAGTATAAAGATATTAGTAGATTGTGGCTGAGTAGGAACAGGCTTGAGTGAACGCATCGCATTCGTAAGGAAGCTCGTGTGGAAGTTGAGATCCATATACGTTAAAAAAAGTAAGGGATCTACGAATTCTTGCTGAAATGGGAGTGTCTTGTAGCAAAATATGGTTTGACTCATTCAACATTATATTATCAGTGTTGTATGAAATTTCATCAGAAATATGTGAATTATTATGACAAACCATATCTGGTACAATAACATGAGAAGTCCTATAAAAAGTTGGTTGGTTAGAAACTTTCGTCTCACAGTGATTCTGCGTTTCATTAAACTCTGGACTGTTATGTGACTCTATACCGCTTCTGGAGGTCTTGGATAAAGATAAGTGATCATTACAAACATCCACCTTGTCATTAACTTCAGCGAACTGGACCATAGTATTACAAACTGACTAAATGTGTCCAGTTCTACCACATTTAAAGCATTCAGAATTACGAAATACACATGAATTCTATGGGTGAAACTTGCCACAGAACAAGTATTTACCAAACTCATCTTCGTGACCTGATTCGCAACTTCTCAATGAATTGTGATCTGAATAACATTGATTACGTATTGCAGGCGATTTGAATTTTAAAAGGATCGGTGAGTGCATGCACATACATGTAGATACATGGCTCTAAGCAGATTAGATTTGATATTTTCAAGAGCATTGCTAGATCGTCTTAAATACCTCTGGGGAAACACGATCTAGGAAATTGTGTGTCATTCATCTGATCTGGATTCTCTGCGGGGTTGAAGTTGATGAGGTACTTAAGCGGATTGAGAATGTTCATGTCAACTTGCAATTTTCTAATATCATTCACATGGCTGCAGTTGTGATTTTCATCAATGTTTACCAATAGAGACTTTAACATGATTCGAATGGAGACCACTGGTATAGGCTAGTCAGCTTCCGGATCAACGAACTAGCTCGTCTAGTTGGAAATGTCAATAGTAGTGTTAGAATGTGTCGTTTTCTTAAGACGCCCAGGTGATGGAATATGTCTCCTCAAAATTTATTCTTCAGCCCTGTCACCAACGAAGTACTCCGTTCCCGTAGTCGGCTTAAAAAATTTATGTCGCTTACGAAGATAGTAGGAATGACAAGGATGTAGAGTTTGAGATGTGTCCATGCTCATGCTTCAGAAAGAGTTTGGAACAATTCTTGGCTGATTAGCCAGGTTATCTTCTCATAAAATGACACATTGAGCATGATTAAACTACATTCTCTACGTATTACGAGTGGGAATCCGTGATCACTGCGGATACTAGACCGAGAACAAGTTCAAAAAACACAATTAAGAGCGGACTTCCGTAGGGGTTGGAGGCTTCCGTCATATCGTTGTTGTTAACTATCATCTATTTGATGTCAGAAATGAAATGCAACACATACAACCAGACGACATTTCTGAGCACTATGTTTGTTGTGATTTAGTATCAGAGGTTAAGCCATTGCTTAAAGTTAGTGTATGTGTTTGGAAGCTAGTCAAACGTCTAACAATTCTTTCATGAGTATCATATACATTGTTCGTGATGCATTCAGTTTTCAGAGAGAAAATCTGATAATTGCATGTTTTTATTTACCTGCTATTGCGAACTGATCTAATGGCGATGTTAGAGGAATCCGTCGTAAGTACTAAGCGTATTTCTTTGTCTCTGTTCACAAAATATAGCATGAGTAGTTAACGCGATCCCACTCGCGGGATTCGAACCCAGAACCTACTAGGATATGACAAATACATCATTACTTTCACAATTGATTGATCACTGGATGGTGATTAATGTCATGCGTGTCAAGTCCTTCTTAGTGCTGATCGAATGTCATCGATCAAGTTGCAATGTGGCCACTAGTGGAGGTGGCTCGACACTGCGTGCACTATGTTGAGGTATGGTGGTGGTTGGAGGTGGTCAACAAGAAACCCTGGAACCGATCGATAGCATTCGATCAGAATTTGGGAGGACTTGACACACATTATATTGATCACCACCCAGTGATCAATCAATTGTGATTACATCTCAGTCCTACAGGAGGTCGGTCGCGGCCCGAATAGCTAAATGGTAATGTCTCTGATTTTGAAGCTGAATGACACGGGACGGAATCCATCAGGGAGCACCAGTTCCTTCAAGATTGCAGGTACACCTTGCTGACGAGTGCCGTATAACACAAATCCGGGTCCAGGATTTCCTGTTGACCAGCTCCAACCACCATCTTATATCATTACTTTATTATTGACAATCTACTCAATAATACAATTATTTGCAACTATCAAATCAAATCTTGGTAATGATAATGATCACTAAGTAACGTTCTTACTTATCTAATGACTTGAATATGGATAGAATGAAAAACAATCAATTCTTGGAATTATATAATTTACAAGAAAAATATGAAATTGATATTCACTTAGATTGTACATCATTTCTAAAAAGAATTAGTTGAACTTCTTTGTTTTTCCTTATTCTTTGATAACAGAACAAAAACACCCTGAAATCTTGTAAATATACAAGAAGTAAATGTTTACATATAAAGAAAAAAAACGTGAAAATATAAACAAAAGACCATTACCCTACACAAAATAAGAACAAAAAAAAAAGTAAATGATGATGACGCGGAGGAGGAGGGGGAAGATAAAGTTAATTATACACATCCTTCACCATCCCCTCAACAACAACAACAACAACAACCAAAGTGTAGAATGGATCAGATTATTAACTAGGTCAAATTAACAAAACTCAACATTGAAGAACAAAATGTGATACATTAAGAGATCTCATTATGGAATGTTAAATATTTCGATGATAATAGTAAGAATAAAGATCATGAAGAGTGTTTTTTTTTTCTCTTTAGATTACATAACAAAACAGATAATAATAATAATAATATTTTTGTAACTAAGATAATATCTAATATTTGATATGTATAATGAAAGTATATGGAAAGAAGGCATGAAATAAACAATAGTATACATAAATAAACACAAAAATGTACTTGACACAAACACATATACACAAAATACAGAAAGAATAAGAACCTAAAAATAGAAACAAGATAAAGGGATGGAAAGGGGAGGGAGAACTTAAACAAGATAAAGAGAGAGGGGGACAAAGAACATGGAAAGATAAATTTACAAAAAAAAAAACATGTTAAACTTGTGATAGTGTACACATAATATATATGTGAGAGAGAGAGAGAGAAAAAAGAATTTTTTTTTTTACATAAATCCATTATTATTTAATTCACGTTTTCTTTTATGTTTTCTCTTATGATTATTATTCATTGATTTTGAAATTTTTTTGATCAATGTTGGTGGCGTTAAATTGGAGTTCATTACCAAATGAGTTGACATAGAGAGGTGGGGCTAAAAATGATTGTGGGCAAAAAAAAAATAACATGAACAAATTATATATATCAGGAATCGATCTCCTACCAGGAGGTTCACTTATCGACTTAGAATACACAGATGACATAATCCTGCTTGGTGAAGATGCTGGCAAAATGTAGAATCTTCTGTTAGTAACAATGCCAGGATGTTTGGGATGCGTTTTTCCCCTATCTAAATGTAAATTTTTACTCCAGGACAGGCCTAAGTCAACACTTGAACTAAGGGTAGGGAGTGAAGTAGTCGAACGCAACGAAGACTTCACTTATCTTAGAAGTCTGTTGAGCCCTCATTGGTTGGTGTCTGACGAAATCTCTGCACGGATTCGAAAAGCTGGTTTGGCTTTTGCCAACTTACATCACCTCTGGCGAAGGACGAGTATACTGCGCAGCAGTTCGTTTTGTTCTACTTTAAGGCTGCGAAACTTGACCATTAAGCGAAAGGAGATACTCGTAAATTACTAGTATTTGACCACAAATGTCTTAAAAATATTGCTCGCATCTACTGGGATCACCAAGTAAGTAATAGTGAGGTTAGACACAGGGTATTAGAGAATGATGGTAAATCAGTTGATGAGGTTGTGAATCTTCATCGACTGAGATGGTTGGGCCACGTGTCACGTATACCTGAACACCGATTACGATGACGCGCTACGCTGTCTAGTATTGGCAATGGTTGGAAGAGAGTTAAGGGCGGTCAAACCAAAACGTGACATCAGTACTTGAAGTTAATAACTTCTGGTGTGAGCCATGTTGGCAGATGCAGACTACTTGGTTGGGGTCCGTGTGACCATCGTAACCAATGGTTGGAGACTGTGGGTGACATGGCTCAGAATCTATCACAATGGCGTAGGTGTATACACTCATTATCTTCCCTTAAACCTTGAGACTAAAATCGCTTGATATCTGTATTTCTTTCTGTACTATATCCTTATATACAACCTTTCTTTTATATATTACCATCAGTTAATTAACTATTTCTATGAATCCGGTGTTCATCTTGTTGTGTTAACAAAGTATGGCAACTTGGACCGATGCATATGTGTCTGGTCCTGCTGACTGATATATATCAAACCCCGCCCGGAGACCCTCTGGGGTTGCTGCAGGTCCCAAGCCTGTATAAAGGAGGAGTGTGGGGTATGGGGGGTGAGCGACCACATCCCGTAGAAAACTAACTTGCCAAAAAAACGCTAATATATATCAGTCAGTCAAATGCAAGATAAAACCTAGCACATATATAAAATGGTTCAAGTCTTCATATCCAATTAGAATAGCAAGATGAAATTTTCAGGATGAATTTCACAGTAGAAGAGATAGTAATACTATTACTGATGGGAACAGAAAATATTAGGCAACTAAGGTACGATTAGAGGGGTATATCTAAATTATAGAAATAGGAAAGAAGTTATAAAGAATTTAAGTACTTACGATCTGAGGGAAGACAGAGAGTGAATGTATTTGTGTCATGAAGAATGATTTTAAAACCATGTCACCTAAAGTGTTTAACCAGTGGTTACAATAATCACGGGGAAAGGCAACTAGATGGTCTGCACCTACCTACATGGATCGATCCAATAGTCAATATCTTCATGGACTGATCCATATATTGGATTGACCTTCCCTACTATTCTTTCAGTGCATTAGTGTACATTAATCATCATCGCCCACAAAGGTAGTCAGTAGAAGAGTGTACATAATGCTTCTTCAAACTACTTTATTCAATAAAGATTCCCTGTCTCGTCAATCGACTTCCTATACTTGCTGGCGGGTGCCAAATAACAATAAAACCTGGGTCTATGGTTAGTCATCGACTACTTCTAATCATATAAAGTATTAACATACAGCACGCAACATTCAATGATTTAAAATAGTTGCCACATCTCAATAGAATTGATAGAATTTGGTTAGAACCATAAGAAACTATATAAATGTGGCGTCGGCCACTACTCGGAAATTGTCTATATATATTGAGTTGGGTAAAACCATACTAGGAAAAAACCTCTTCTTTTCTTTTTGATTCGTAATGGTACTACAACTGGAATTCATCTATGATGAATACTACGTACAAACGAAATAAATCTTCATAAAACCCATCCACATAATCAACTAAAACAAATTCGTTGAATATCAATCACTGTCCATATTTATTTATTTATTTGAACACATAAATATTGGTACAAGGAAGCACCAGATACATATGCGCCGCACAAATCTTTGATTTGTGTGAGGGCTGGAATACTTCTCAGATGCCCAAACTGAAACAGGTGGTTTTCTTAGGGAGCCACACCCGGAGCCTTTGACCTAAAGGTCTGATCCACAAGACAGTGGAGCATCGTGAGGAGATGCATTCCCATAATATCCGGTGACCAACGATTGGTTCATACGCCGTTTATTACTCCAGGATACTGGAGTCAGCCCATGTGCACCATTGGTTCAGGATTAGGGTTTTCCAACTCCTCTCAGTAGATGCTCCGTGTCCACCAAATTGGTTAAAGCGCCGGACATTCGGTTTTCATCCTCTCAATTCTATAGAGAACACCTTCTAACGAGAAGGCAGTGAGTAAGACTTCCCTGACAGAGGCTTTATATGTGTGGCTATGTGAGAGCATTTCGAGAGAGGGCAAGCCCTCCCATTCTCGGTCGAACCAGGGCATTTTGGGGCCATCGTCCATAACAACAAACAGATCTTATCATTTAATCTATTATCACTAATAAATACATCATTAACAATATTTACCTCTAGATCATTATTATTTTGATTAAGAGATGGTCTACATGATGGTTTATTGCATTCCTGTGGCAAGAATTCATTCAATTGACAAATAGATGATTGTGAACTATCTATTGAAAAATAATGAATACGAAAAAAAATTATGAAACAATTAACGATTGAAAGTAACAGTTACAGAGGTTCATCAATTAGTCATTGATTCTGGTATTTCAATAATGTATAACATGTGAAAAAGTACATTATCTGGAAGCACTGGACGACCGTTTCGTCCTTCCAGGTTTTCCCTGGTGGTCTAGCTTTAATTGACTCACGCTATCAACTATGAAAATACTAAATCTCCATAAAAACCCCTTCTGATAATAATAAATTAAATGTTTAGCGTTTGCAACATTTCATGTCCATCATCCACAACTATCTTTATGATGATATGAATACAATTAGGACAAATGTAATACAGTATTGACATATAATGTGGGATAATTAATCATAAAACTGTTAAGTTTTACATTTGATTACGGCTAATACGGTATATAACTTGGACACTTGAATGTGTAGAACCCTTCTTCGCCCTACAAGTTGTAAATCGAAGGGAATTGAAGAAAACAGAATTGTTTAATGAAGTAAATGTAAAAATGTACAGAAAAATAGGTAAATAGTTATCGGTACATGCTGTAAACATCATTATAATCCGCTGAACCTGCAAACATGAAATTTACATAATTATCTAATCACAATATCCTAGGTTGATATTCTACAAATTCTATACGACTATTATTGAATGGAATCGCTTCAGCTTGTTTAGCGCCTCTGAAGGCTTCATAGCGCTTTATAGAAGCTATCCCAACAAAAGCATTTAACATTTATCATATGAAACACTTCACCATGTTACCGACATTCTACAAATGTATATACTGTGAAACATGAGAAAGAACATCAACACGATTAATATACCATTATTAGTAAGGCTTTCAGTATCCTGTTGTCGATATTGAGGATTAGATTTTAATTTGTCGTTGTTGGAGTATATGTATATTGTATCGATTGTTTCAATGAAGCCACATTGTCACAATCTTTATAGAACAGATGGCTTTTTGCTATAAGGACTTTCATTTCACTCTATTTGGAACTCGCCCGCTCTTTGGACTTATTAGCTCGGTGAATGACGACAGTCGAAACATTTGGATCAAAGGTAGCGGGTCTGAGTCCCAGTGAGAACATAAACATTGAAATCCAGGTAAATTCATCTGATGAGTCCCACGTAGAATGAGACGCAAGTCCTGTACTCCAGTGCTATTCACAAATCCTAAATTCTACAAAATGCAATTAATAGTTCCAAGTGTGATGCTGAGTATGCTGAAAATGACACAGATGTAGACGTTTATTCGGAAATCTAGTCGTCATGTTTAGAATCACTTCCCTTATAGCTTTAACAGATTGCTGTTTTCAAGAACGACAACCAACGTTTCATTCTATTGTACTATACAGTCAGTTCTCATCAGAATAGGATCTGGAACAGATGTCAGATACATCCAAATAGGATGTATGATAAGGCCTTCCTTTCTATTGAGAGCAGTGGGATTAAGCATTATATGGAACGCTTCAGTTACCCTCCTTTCTTTGTAATTGGAAAAACCTTTCGGTAGTATTTTGATACTTTTGAAATCCATTTGATGATTGTTGAAAATGGTGTGAACTACTATTGCAGACTTAATTTGAAGTCTATCCAGTTCTACAGGATTATAAGGAGGTTTCTTTGTGTACCTAATATGTTCTTTGGCGCGAGCCAACATATTGCGAGGTGATTCTTCAATATAGAATGGATCACAATCGATACAACCTAATTTGTAGACGTAGTTTTGAGTAGACATGAATGGGATTTTTTCTTTTAATCGAACTGAATATAGACAATTACCTGTTTACATATATTTTACTTATAAGATATAGAAATTATAAATGAATATAACTTTAAGAATGCCAGGAGGAATTTCTATCATTCAACGTAATTAAATCAAACTGCAATTAATAAATTTACCAACATAGATATAACCAAAAACGTAATCAGGGATTATTATCAGAAGGGGTTTTGTGGAGATTTCCGTATTGTTCATAGTTGAAATCATAAGTCAATTGAACCTAGACCACCATGGAAAACCTGAAAGCACTGGACGGCCGCTTCGTCCTATTATGGGACTCCTCAGCAGTGCGCATCCACGATCCCGGAATTCTAGTGGGAAGCAGTGACCAGTGGAGTTCAACCACGTCTGTTGTGAGATAACAACTCACTGAAGACAATTGGTGAACGTTTGGTCAACTTCACTAATCAGTTGAAGTTAGACATTAACACCGTTGGATGCCGGATAGCTCAGTGGTCTATCGGTTAAGTGCTAGTAGGTCCTGGGTTGGAATCTCGCTCGCGAGTCGGGATCGTGAATGCGCACTGCTGAGGAGTCCCATAATAGGACGAAACGGCCATTCAGTGCTTCCAGGTTTTCCATGGTGGTCTAGGTTTAATTGACTCATGATTTCAACTATGAATCAGGGATTAATTTAAGAAGATAGAAAAAGCAAAACCAAGTCATGGTAAATAATAATCTAGATAACAATAACGATCTGTTTTTGAAGACAAATAGAATGGACTAATTTGACATTAGTAGAATATTTGATTACAGAACATAATTCTATCTTAATTCAGTACTAATAATACTGTATAGAATGTCAGTAAGTGTGTTACACTTAGACCATTAAAAATGCAATGATGCTAAAAATAGACTGATATTTGTATCTGACCAGCTAAAAGTGTTTACAAATATGTAAACATTAAAACACCTATGTAAGTTTTCTGACGATATCACTGTCAATGACGCTCAACATGATATAAATGGGATTAAACAACTGAAAATAATCCTGACGGATTTGTCGAAACAAACGACTAAGAGTGATAGCTTAATAGTCAGAGCACCTGGATATCAAATACTAGGTTATAGACTCGAACATGCCCGACTCAAAATATACTTAGCTAGTATCATTAGGTCTCATATACATACTGAAGTTTAAATCTGGATACAGAAATCAAAACGTAGGAAATCAGTTATGACATTAGAATTATCACAACCCTGTTATTCAAAATGAAGCGGGGTTCGAAATTGGGAGTAATTGGTTGAAAGTCGAATCATTCAAAAATGTAAGTCACCTTACACTTTCAGAGTTGTAATATACAGGTGAAAGTTACACATCGACGGAGAACTGAAGCCAAACCTTTGTTGCTCATATGTATACACTACAATAACAATGTGTAATACGGAAAACAATTACCACACCAAATTTAAATAGTAGTCGCGTAAATTAACAATATAAACTTATTTTCGTTGTAAGAACGACAACATATATCCTTCATACTCATGAGTGAATTGATGAATCTCTATCAATGTAAAGACTACTAAAATATATGTTTTGGTATTGCATGTATTTACGTTTACGACAGGAAACTACTAATTCATCCTTATTATAGTAACCGTTGAATAAGAGGTGGGTATTATGAATTATCAAATTAGTGTGTATTATTCTAGCACTTATATAGATAGATAATGGGTTCCAGGTTAAGTCATTTTTAAAGGAAAACAAGCCACGTCTAAATGTACGGCATTTAATAGAATCAAGTCAAATAAACAATGACCTACCATTTTCTCCACACTTCAATTGATCCTTATTGAATTGACTATTGTCTGATGAAGAACAAATTGTAGGCAGTTGTAATAATGATGGTACATGTTTAGGTTGAGGATCAAATTTAACTTGACTAGAAGAGATGTCATCATCCTAAAAATAAAGAGAAAGAGTTACAGTAAAGACTAAATTTGATATTGTAATGAAATAATATAAATTTCTTATAATATAGCATTCCGAGTCAGTGATGGTGCATAGAAGAAACATTCACTAAGAATCTTGAAAATTATGGATTCCATCTATGACTGAGTTGTGAATGTGAACTGTTGAGTAATTTCATATCCTGAAACTGGTTTTCAATAATTCTCTAGTTTAAATCAGTCAATGATGTAGACAAATTACGTCAGTCAAAACAAATATAGAACTTGACATATATATGCAGTGATTCAAGTTCTCATATCATATGTACCTGCATAGGCAGTTCTAATTCTAGAAAAAAAAATTCCAGAGTAGTAGTAACACTACCACTGGTAATATCAAGCAATAAGCATAGACAAGATCATTTGAGAAGAATGAATGAATTTATGAGATATAAAGTATAAGATCGTTTCAACACTCAAAAGAATACAAAACGTGAATTCATCTACCTTATTGTAGGTAATTCTAAGCCATGTCACCCAATATTATCTTGCGAACCACAGCCATCTAGTCTGCACTAAACTAAGCGGCTCAATTCAATATTCAATAACTTAATAGACTAATGGTATAAACTAAACGAACCGAATCAATATGAATACTTTAAAAGAATAATGTATCAGACAATGCTGAAAGACAGTTTACATAAGGAATTTATTTAAACAAATGAACCAATGAAAAGCAGGAAGCACTGGACAGTTATTTCTATCTTATTATGAGACTACCATGTTCTCAGTATTCAGTCTATTTCATTATCATTGCTAGTACAGTTATTTTGACTTATTTCTTATTCATTTTTCGAATTTTACCTCAACATGTTGTGCTACGCTTACAACTGAAGAACATTTGGCACTCAAAACAATTGTCTGTCAACCAACACCAAAGTCAGAATTTTCAATACAAGCATCAAGATAGTTCTACTGTATGGGGCGAGAACATGGAGAACAACGAAAGCCGTCATCCAGAAGATACAAGTGTTTATTAACAGTTTCCTACGCAAAATACCTCAGATGCGTTGGCCAGACGTTATCAGCAACAAGTTATTGTGGGAGAAAACAAACAGATTCCAGCAGAGGAAGGAAGTAGATAGGACACATATTGAGGAAATCATCCAACTGCGTCACAAGGCAAGCTTTCACATGGAACCCTGATGGTCAAATGAGAAGAGGAAGATCAAAGAACACATTACGTCGAGAAATAGAGACAGACATGAGAAGAATGAACAAAAATTGGAAAGAACTAGAAAGGAAGGCCCAGAACAGAGTGGGTTGGAGAATGCTGGTCGGCGACTTATGCTCCATTAGGAGTAAGAGGCGTAAGTTGCGCTACGTCAAATTGAAACAACGTACAACTATTTTAGGTCATTTAACTATGACTGACTGACTATATAGGACTACTTAGCAATTTGAATTCTTGACCTAGTCAGATAACGAACCCGATGACTTTCAACTATTGTAGCGAATGTATTACTTTCAGATCACAGAGCTTGTTAGTTTAATGTAATATCTAAACAAATATAAATTTATCAGAAGAGGTTTGGTGGAGACTTTATTAATTTTGTGGAGTTCAGATCATCAGTCAACTGAAGCTAGACCGATATGGAAAACCTAGAAGCACTGGATGGCCGTTTCGTCCTACTATGGGACTCCACAGCAGTGCACATCTACGATCCCGCCTCGCAAGCGAGATTCGAACCCAGAACGTACCAATCTCGCGCCAGAACACTTAACCGATAGACCACTGAGTCAGTATCCAACGGTGTTAATGTCTAATTTCAACCGATACATGAAATTGAGCAACCATTCATCAATGTCATCAGTGAGTTGATTTCTTCCAAAAGACCCGGTTGAACTCCACTGGTTACTGCTTCTCACTAGAACTCCAGGAAATACCTCATGGAGCAAGTCACTAGTGAGCACTAGTGAGTTCATTATCAGAAGGGGTGGTCTAGCTTCAATTGATTCATGATCTCAACTCTATAAAATATAAATTTAATTTATATACAATAAAAAGTTTGGGTACAAAACCAGTTTCATAATATCATTTTACTTCAATTTTATTAACTTGTATCTCTTTGATTAAACAACATGAATGAACATCATCATTATTATTATTATTATTCATGCATTGATCATTGATATTAGTAACAATGGGATTTCTATAAATTTCTTTGATTGAACAATCATTATCTATTAAATCAGTTTTAATTATCAAATGATCATAAGTCATTTCAATAGTTGGTTTGTATATATGAGATAATTCATTCATTTGATAACAAGTGAGAACTTTTGGTACTGTAATGTTGTTATTATTATTATTATTATTATTATTACTGTTATTATTATCATTAGTAGTAGTAGTAGTAGTAATCATAGTATTGGTAAGAATAATATTGGATACTTTGCCAAAAGATTTCTTCTTGTCATATTCATCATTATGATGTTCAGTAACATTATCAGTAGTATGAAGATTATCATTATCACCATTATTATCAGTAATCATCGTATTGATAAAAATAAAATTGGATGCTTTATCAAAAGATTGCTTCATGTCATATTCATCGTCATGATGTTCAGTAATATTATCAGTAGTTTGAGCATTATCATTATCATTATTGGTGGTAGTAGTTGTATTAATATTGATTGAAGGAATTAAATGAGTTAGATGTTGGGTCGAAATTGTCGAATTCATTGAATTAAAATATACAATACAACTATTAAAATTTGAATGATTTTTTTGACAATATAATACTTGATATAAACTAGATAACAATAATTCTGTATCAAATTTACTTATTAGATGATTTTTTGGTCTAAGCCATAACCAATAAATAAGAAAATGAACTATTGATGCTAATATGAGATGAAGTAATACCAAACTGAATATCTATACAATGAAGAAGAAGAAAAGATTGTACAGTTTTAAAAATAAAGTTTATACTAAAACTAAACAATTTCTTAAAATAAGGGATCATTGAATGCTCTGGTACGGCAGAGAGTGTAGAGAGTTTGCTTTCCCTCTCGAAATGCTCTCACATGGCCAGGCGTATATAGCCTCTGACAGAGAAGTCCTACTCACTGCATTCTCGTTAAGGGGATATTCTCTACGAAATTGAGGACAAAAAGCGAATTTCCGAGGCTTTAACCGGGTTGGTGGACACAGAGGGTACACATAGAGGAGTTAGAAAACCCTCATTTCAAACCAACGGTGCACATGGGTTCCAGTATCCTGAGGGAACAAATGGCGTATGAATCAATCGTCGGTTACCGGCTATCATGGGACTGCATCTTCTCACGATGCTCCACTACCTTGTGGATTAGACCTTTAGGTCAAAGGCTTCGGGTGTGGTCACCTAAGAAAACCACCTGCTTCAGTTTGGACACCCGGGCAATAAACTGAATAAGTGTTTTATCTAACGTTATAAAATAGCTGAATGGTGTGCAATGACAATTCCATGAAGAATTCAAACCAATAGGACTATATCTCAGATCTCGTGGTAAGTGCATGATCGAATTTCAATAGCTAAGGCGGAATCTAATGATCCACAATATAACCAACTGTAGTAAGTTCGATATAATACATTGTTTTCATTATATCACCATTACTGATAAATGTTTCAAAATTCTGAAAATCATGAAGTTTACCGACGGTTATAGCTTTTAAGTGCACCTATTTAAACTCTTAAAATTGATTAATTTCAAAAAGACTTCCTAGAAATCAAAGATCCAGCTCGTGTTTGATTTCCTATGAGTAATACTGAGAGGCCGAATATAACATGAAACCCTCAAATCAGGGTAACAAGCCTTCCAATATAGCCAAGTTGCTGCTGAGTTAAAGATGAAAATTAATTCCAATGTTATTGTAATTATAACATCTTTAATTCAGCCTAGTTTCTCTCTGAAATTTGGATCTTTATATTATAAAACGTTACACATTTGTTACGTATTATCCACTCATAAAATGAATCTATGTCAGGTGGGATTCGAACTTGAAACTTTATGATCAATTGAAAAGAGAGGACTACAGTTGAAATTCGGATAGCTCGGCGATAAAAACTATTACAACTGAGAAGCTAAATATAAATAAATAATTCATTATCAGAAATGGTTTTGTGGAAATTTAGTATTTTCATAGTTGAAAGAGTGAATCAATTGAAGCTAGACCACTATGGAAAACCTAGAATCACTGGACGGTCGTTTCGTCCTATTATGGGACTCCTAAGCCGGCTTTAATTGACTCAAGCTTTTAACTATGAAAATAAATAAATAAATAATAAACAGAAAATACATTGACGTACATTTAAAATCATTGTATTCATTTGACAGAAATTATGAATAAATATTCCAAAATTATATAACCATACAGGCCAACTGAACTCTAACCATAAAAATCCAAGAAGGAATTGTTTCCATTCTGAGAACAATGATGATGATGATGATTCCATATCATAATGTTGATGTTTATAATTTCTTGTGGATAAATATGGATCAAATAAAGATTTTGCATTATATTCATTTGGATTATTACTCACACTACTACTGTCAGGGCTGATAATGTTATTGTCACTACTTTTAGAGTTTGTAGTGCCAGTTGTAGTTTGTTTAAATTTTTCTTTATAATTTTTAGATAATGTACCAGTAGTTCCGTCTAATCTTGACAGATAAACATCATCATTTGTTTGATAACTATCATAGGATTCAAATTCTGTATCATCAACATCTTCATTATTATTAGATACAACCATATCACCATCAACTATCATATACCAATCATCATGTTGAGATTTAAGCCATGGATTCCAATCTAAAGAACTTTCAAAATCAGGTAATGGTGGAGGAGAAGTAAGTGATGTGACTAAATTTGATGATTTTGAATTAGATGAACTTGATATAGTCCCTTCAGTATTGGTTGTCGTTGTTACTACTGATTCTGATGACGATGATGAACTTGGAGTGGTGGAAGATAAAGGAGAAGACGTTAATGTTAAATCCGGCTGACCAGATGACGAAGAAGCAGGCAATGAATTCGACAAACGAGATTTTATACGTGCAGTTAAATCATTCAATTGTAATTCTAATTGTGAAATACGATGCTGATTAAATAAAATAGAAAAATAATATAGCAAGCGTAAACACAGGTTATATTCATAAAATACAAAATTTTTGGTAGTTTTCTGTTTTCTGAACTAAATGGTTTGAGAAAAGAGATTTTGTTATCCATCAGGACAAAATCATGAGCCTCCAAATGCCCTGGTACGGCCGAGAGTAAGGAGAGTCCACTCTCCCTCTCCAAATGCTCTCATATGGCCACGCGTATATAGCCTCTACCACGGAAGTCCTACTCAATGTCTTCTCGTGATGTGGGTATTGTTTACGAAATTGAGAAGACAAAAAGCGAATGTCCGGTGCTTTAACCGAGAGGGTGGATACGGAGGGTCCAATTAGGGTAGTTGGAAAACCCTGATTCCAAACCAATGGTGTACATGGGTTCCAGTATCCTGAGGGAAAAAATGGCGTAAGAATCAATTGTTGGTCACCAGCTACCATGGGACTGCATCTCCTTACGATGCTCCACTGTCTTGTGGATCAGACCTTTAGGTCAAAGGCTCCGGGTGTGGCTCCCTAAGAAAACTACCTGCTTCGGTTTGGGGGCCTGGGCAGTATCATAGCCCTCATACAAATCAAATGAGATCTGTGTGGCGCATATATATCTGGTGCTTCCTTGCACCAATATTTTTGTGTTTAAATAAATAAATAAATACCTACGTTATATGAAAGTGTTCTTTGCAGTTACTTGTTAGGTGTTACATTAGTTCATTTTAAAAGTATTATTTGTGATTAGTTATTTTCAGAGATTGAGTTGACTATACTTATTCTTATATTTATAATGACTGTTTTTTTCGGTTGACCTCTGACCATGTAGTGGTTGATTGACATCATTCTTATGGATTGATAGATTGATCTGTATCGATGTGTCCACTAAATAGCAGTAGATGTGAATGGCATGATTTTAGCAATTCTCTGAAATCCCTAGCTTCCTCAATTCAGAATTTCAACGTTTCTTCGGTCGAATTCATCATCATAGATATCTAAGTACAGTGATATTACTTTTGGAAAAGCCAAAAAGTTCACTTTTACAAAATGTAGGCACTAATGATGCTAGTCAGATCGATAATAAACGCTCCCTAATTACAATATTTACTCTAAATAGTACAGTATGATCAAAAGTATTCACTCGAGAGTCAAACGTCCTTCCATCAGGGAGTGTTGTTTACGAAATTGAAAGGACGAAAAGCGAATGTCAGACACTTTAAACTGGTTGTTGGACACGGAGAGTTGGGAAACCCTGGTTCCAAACCAATGCTGCACATGGACTCCAGGATCTTGGTGCAACGAATGGTATATGAACCCATTGTTGGTAACCATTGCCATGGGACTGCATCTCTTTACGTTGCTCCACTGCCATGTGAATTAGACCTTTAGGTCAAAGGATCCATGAATAGCTCCCTAAGAAAACCACCTGCTTGTGTTTGGGCACCTAAGTAGTATGACAGCACACACACAAATTAAATGAGATTTGTGCGGCGCATATATATCTGGTGCCCCCTTGTACTAAATATTTATGTGTTTAAATGAATAAAGCGATATATTAAATGGATAATTTATATATTACTAAATGTGAAAATTGTAGAAGAAGGAAAGAGAAAACTTAGAACACATGAAGACATGTTTTTAGAGAAAGGAAATCGACATCAAAGTTATCCAATAACAACCATAAACGCTATCAGGACTCAGTGGCCGAATGGATAACGCGATGACATTTGAAGCAAAAAATACTGGGTTCGAGTCCCAGAGTGAATATCAACTCTGAGATGCAGGTACATCCAGGTGACAAGTCCCAAATAGGACGAAACGCGCGTCAAACTAGATTCCACTGCTAGCCAAAAACTATTTTTCTTGCCATAAACGTTGTCAGAATAATAGATTAAAATGAATAAGAAGTTTAAAAAGACCCAAGAATGATGATAAGAAACTAATGACAGAGAAAATGAAATAGAATATTATGTAAAATAGGATTTAGCAAGGTAGTTAAAGATTTACAATGGTATCCTTTAGAATATATAAGTTTGGTTTAAACTTTCTAACAGTGATACAGTCTTCTAGGTAACGTAGTAATCTTGAAATAGTTTTAGCATTGATTATTTTGAACAATTGTAAAGTGTTAGGATATTCACAGGAGTATCCCAAAATTATCTCGAAAGTAAAATCGTATGTTTTTAGACTCTTCACATAATTCGCATGTTATTTCCTATTGGCCATTATTTACAGTTGTCCTAACTATGACTTTCACGTGTCGTTTTCCTATTGGTCAATTTTGAGTTGTCCTAATTATAACCTTTACGTGTGCTTCCTTTCCATTGGTTACTGTTAATAGTCATCTTAACTGTATAAATATGCCTTGTCTGTAAACCATTTTTGTTCTGCTGCTGACCCCATAAGCAATTCTCATTTGACGGCTACGTTCTGATTTACTGGAGTTGAGGAACAGTATTGGGGTCGAACTAGGATATCTGAATTTGGTCAATCGGTAGAATTTCGTGTAGTCTTATCGCAATACGCAATAATTTCGCGACGTAACATAAAGTACTAACATAGTGTCCATTATCAAACATGACGACAAATGACACTATAGAAAAAAAACATTGATCTTTCAACATGGCATTTTTTTGTGGAATGTGCTTTATAGATGACAACAAGAACCCTCCCTTCTATTCTATCAGTGTGTACTCATATGTGAGCATGTAAACTGCTACATTAAATTCTAGGTAACATGCGGTTGAGATCTGTACACTTTTTTCTGTCACAATAAGTAAATTGGTACGAAACTAGTTTGGCGATTAGGTACATCCTTTGATATGTTGATTGGATATTGATCAATCTTAGTCAGTGTAAATGTATTCTTTGTTACATAAACTTGAAATAATGACTATATCAAAGCAATCTGTACCAAATCTAGATACGCCAACTAAAGACTGATTAAAATCCAGTCAAAATATCGGTAATCGGATATCCAAAACCACCACAAATTAAATCAAAATCAGTACACATCAGGACACAGTAACTAAGTGGATAATGTGTTGGATGTTTGAAGTGAAAGGTAAAAGGTTTAAGTAACAAAGTGAACATCAACTCCAAGATGGACATGAATCCAATTGAAAAGTCCCAAATGAGGCGAAACGCGCATCCTGCATTCCACTATCAGATAAATCCTATATTCTTCATTATTATTTCGTTAAGTATTTTTATTTAAATACATGTGGAAAACAAAGTAATGAATGAGAACACCAATTTTATTAATATTGACAAAACTTTCTACAATAGTTGGTGAAATACGATAAGAAGAACGAAAATGACGATTCATATATTCGGTCATACAACAATGTTAGCAGTTATCATTCGCTACCATCTAAGATTTGTTGCAACCAAAGATATATACTTCGTAGTTGAAGCTTACACAACTAGTTAAAATACAAGATTGAAAACGAGTGATAATTTACAAAAAATGATGTTTGTTCGTCGATTTTATAGCTATATATATATATATTGGCTGAAGTTAGACATTAATACCGTTGGATGCCGGCTCAGTGATCTAGAGGTTAAGAGTTCGCTCGCGAGACCGACAGGTTCTGGGTTCCAGTCTCACGAGTCAGGATCGTGTATGTGAGATGCTGAGGAGTCTTATACTAGAAAGATACTGATATCCAGTGCTTCCAGGTTATATATATATATATATCACGATCTATTGGACAATTGCTTCGTCATATTATAAAACTATTAAATGTTAAAATTCCACAACCCCACCAAGAATTGAACCCAAGGTTTTGCGGCAAGTGGCTACAATTTAAACCAGTAAAGTGATTTCCGATGGTTTACATTGCTAACTTTCACTATTACATGTCATTGTGCTACTATTTTCTGATGTTATTGATGGGTAACTGCGAAATGTTTGAATTCAACTGGTCACAGCTGTTCACTAGAACTTAGGGAATTAACTCTCGAAGTTAATTACCAGCTAGCAGATGATGTAACGGATTTATCAGTCAGTCAGTCAGCTACAACTTAGGACCAGGCACATATATGCATCGGTCCAAATTGCCATACCTCATTAGAACAACAAGAAGAACACCAAATTCATAGAAGTAGTAAATTTAATGGCGGTAATGTATAAAAGAAAGGTTGTATATAAGGATATAGTACATGAAGAAATGCAGATATGAGACAATTTTAATCTTAATGTTTAAGAGAACATAAAGAGTGTACCAACCTACGGCATTGTGATCGATTCTGAGCCATATCACACAGAGTCTCTAACCATTAGGTACGATAGTCACGTGAACCCCAACCAAGTAGTCTGCATCTACCAACATGGTTCAGACTAAAAGTTAGTGACTTCATGCTCTGATGCCACGTTTTGGTTTGGCCGCCCCTAACTTTCTTTCAACCACTCCCTACACTAGTCAGCATCGCGCGTCATGTCATACGTAACACGTGGCCCAACCACCTCAGTTGATGAAGATTCATGACCTCATCAACTGATTTACCATCATTTCCTAATACCCTGTGTCTAAACTCATTATTGCTTACCCGGTGATCCCAGTAGATGCGAGCAATATTTCTAAGACATCTGTAGTCAAAAACTAGTAACTTGCGAGTATCTACTACTCTTAATGGCCACATTTCGCAACCGTAAAGTAGAACAGAGCGAACTGCTGCGCAGTATACTCGTCTTTGTATTGAAAGACGGATATCTCGACTTCAGCAGAGGTAATGTAAGTTTGCAAAAGCTAAACGAGCTTTTTGAATCCATGCAGAAATTTCGTCAGACACCAACCGATTAGGGCTAATCAGACTTCTAAGATAAGTGAAATTATCGACTACTTCACTATCTATCCTTAGTTCAAGTGTTGACGCAAGCCAATCCTGAAGTAACAAATTACATTTAGAGGGGGAGAATTGCACTTCAACTATGACTGATAAATTTTGAAAAAAAACGGACATAACATGAATCATTGTAACTTAAGATATTATGTGAATCATAAGCAGAAAATGAATTACAAAATAAATAAATAACATGTTAATTTTTATTTTATTTTAACTAACTTGTTGTTGACGATCACGTTCTTCAGCACTATGAGCTGTTACTTTTAACCAAGCATAAGTTAAATTAAATGAACGTGATAAACGTTCCATTTGACGGCGATAACTTTGACTAAGTTCTTCTAAGTACCTAAAGATTTACAAATATGCATTAAATAATATAAAATTAACAAATTATGTATATATATATTTTTATATATAGCTGAGATCATGAGTCAATTGAAGCTAGAACACCATGGAAAATCTGGAAGCACTGGACATCCGTTTTGTTCTATTGTGGGACTCCTCAGCAGTGCACATCCGTGATCCCGCCTTACGAGATTCGAAACCAGTATCTACCAATTCGAATGATCAACTTAATAATTGATTAGTAATCAAGGAAATTTTATGTTCAAAATCAGCGTTGTGTAATAGTAATGCGATCACCACGAGATTGGAATGTGTTTGGATCGACCCATGAAAAAGTAGGATATGGTCAATGCTTAAGTATTTGATATTAGTGAGAAACAGGCGTCCAATAGTTTTCAAGTTGAAAAGGAAGAAGACGAGTTAAAATGTCGAAATTTAGAACGTGTTCTCTGACGAATCCGTATTTATATTTTTAACCTCAAATGTACTTAACACACATGGTATATTTTTAGTGCGGCTAGCAGTGGAATCCAGGACGCGCGCTTCATGCTATTTGGGACTCATCAGCTGGATGTACCTACATCTCATAGTTGATGTTCACTCTGGGACTCGAACCCAGTACCTTTCGCTTCAACAATCGTCATTTTGTTAAAGTATGTAAATCACCAGTTTTATTATAAGGATTCTATCAAAGCTCCCAAATGCCCTGGTACGGCCGAGAGTCGGAAGAGTTAGCTCTCCCTCTCCAAATGCTCTCACATGGCCACACGTATATAGCCTCTGCCACACAAGTCCTACTCACTGCCTTCTCGTTAAGGGGGTATTATTTACGAAATTGATAGGACGAAAAGCGAATGTCTCGCGCTTTAACCGGGTTGATAGACACGGAACATCCACCTATAGGAGTTGGAAAAACCTCATTCCAAACCAATGGTGCATATGGGCTGGCTCCAGTATCCTGACGGAACGAATGTCGTATAAACCAATTGTTAGTCACCGGCTACCATGGGACTGCATCTCCTCACGATGCTCTACTGCCTTGTGGATCAAACCTTAAGGTCAAAGGCTCCGGGTCTGGTCCCCTAAAAAAACCACCTACTTCAGTTTGGGCACCTGGGCAGTATCACAACCCTCACACAAATCAAATGAGATTTGTTCGGTGAATATATATCTGGTGCCCCTATTGTATGTGTATAAATAAATAAATAAGATATTGTTATTAGTCTAAACTTAATCATTTACAAACAATAATTGTTTTGTTTTTTTCACAAAATTCTATATGAACTACTTAAATGTATATACATTAAAACATTTGACAATTTTTTTTTTTGAAATTTAAACACTAATGAACATCTAGTAAAAAGACATAGAACTAATTAAAAGAATTACATTTTTATACTTTAAAATACATTTGCATTTAAAATAATGAATAATTCAATTGACAATGAATTGTTGATAAAATGAACTGATAGTGTGGTGTTGTCTACTTATATCTATATAAGTAGTATATGGTGTGGGTCAGACATAGAATGTATTTTCGCAGAAGACCGATGAGCAAAGAACTGAAATGAAGCGCAATCGTCTGGAAAATGCATGAACAATGGAATTATTGAAGAAACAGTGAAGATTGAAACAATTGATTGTTAATTTGCAAATTGATTGTTCGTTGTTTGGTAATCAGAATTTACTGAGATAGTCTGTAACTTTTGCTTAAATACATTCGATTGTCCCCAACCAGTGTTTTGTTCACTACAATAGTTTATTACTATTCAAGAATTCTTTAATAATATACATGAATATTCTTCCAAGACTTCAGTCCTTGTTTCAAAGACAAACTAAATGATAAAATAATTTATAGTTAAAAATAAAAGTATTTTGGTAAAGTTTATGTTGATGATGTAGTTCAGAAGGAACAATGAAAGCTTCACAACTATACCATTCAACTTAGAGAATAAAACTTCAACAAAATTATCCACCTAAGCTACAAATCTATTCCACCATCTCAAAATTAAAAGTATTATATCATATGAGTATCGAAATTAGAGCTAAATCAATGATGATACTGTGTAAATTCATAGGTTTGATTCCTGTTCTTTATCTACTCAATTTAGCGTTCAGGGCAGGGATATTAGCCTTCATATATAGAATGTACTACAAGACCCGATGTTTACATAAGCCAATATATGATAAACAGCTCATACTTGATACTTTAATTGTTTAACTAAATAGCTAAATAACTAAATAGCCTTTTTTTTCCAGATTTCATCATGTTATTGTCTGCATGAATATCTCCAGCAAATTAATGAAATCGGATGGAACTTTAGTTACTTTTGTTTTGAACTTAGACATATTGAATTATAGCCAGATTGGTCAATGAAATGTTTCATTGAACAGTAAGTCAAAAATGGATGTTATTTACGTCCAGATAAGTAAAATAAAGTAAACATTGTTCAATTATCACCAACCAAGTGGTATATTTAAAAGATGAAAATGTATAAGTTATTTTGTTATAAGTGAGATGTGGATAGATAAACTAGTAATTGGAATTGAAATACTGTAATGTTCTTAATTTGGTGGTTGACTGGATTATGAAGACCTCGACATTTCAGTGGAAGAACGGAATACAATGAGCAGATAGGATGCAACTAGATGATTTGGACTTCACAGATGAGCTAGCTCTTATATCTCATACACACCAACAAATGCAAGTGTAATCACCTAGTGTAGCAGCAGCCTCTGCATTAGCATGCGTCAACAAATAAAAGGGAAAAATCGAGATCCTTAAATACACCAGAGCGACAGAGTTTGATGGATGGGTGGCTTATGCTCTTCAATGGGTAACAGACGTAAGTAATGCTCTAGGATATGGAACACAACTAAACTTCTACGCAAGAAAAGACAAATAATTGAATCGAAACTCAAACATGTACTAACCAAGCTAAAATATTCATCATTACAGAACAATTTGACAAAAGATGAGAGTAAGATTATAATAGTATGAAAATTATTACAAAGAAACGCGGATTTCCGAAAGATTCACAATTAAAGATGGTAAATTCTATGTGGTAACATTGTCTTGGATCGACTGAAATGTTTACGATATCTGAATAAATTGAATAAGTTCAGTTTATTACTATGTATCCCATCGATTTTCTCTTTATATAATGTTGAGAAATATGAATGATGTAATTTCATTCTGTATCTACTTCTAACAAGAAAGAAATGGTGAGTTGACTGATATGGCTAATTTACTTTCATTTATCACCTAAATCAATTTACTACACTGACTAATAAAGAAGTAGATTGGAAGAAAATCAACGTTAAGCAATCCAGGATATGACATATAAATCGTTTCAGTCTTTATTGTCTTACAAATCTATAGATCATCATTCTTTAGAACTGTTTATTCCGCTGTTTGATTTATTCACGTAAGCGGATCACTAATATGAGTATAAAAAGTGATAAGTTAAATACAAATTTATGGAAGGCTCTAGTGTTTATGACTAAATGAAGGATTCTATGTAATCTATTTAAGCACCCCCAAATGCCCTGGTACGGCCGAGAATGGGAAGAGTTAGCTCTCCCTCTTCAAATGCTCTCACATGGCCACACGTATACAGTCTCTACCACGGAAGTCCTACTCAATGTCTTCTCGTGATGTGGGTATTGTTTACGAAATTGAGAAGACAAAAAGCGAATGTCCGGTGCTTTAACCGGGAGGGTGGATACGGAGGGTCCAATTAGGGTAGTTGGAAAACCCTGATTCCAAACCAATGGTGCACATGGGCTTCACTATCCTAAAGCAACAAATGGCGTATGAATCAATCGTTTATCACCGGCTACCATGGAACTGCATCTCCTTACGATGCTCCACTGCCTTGTAGATCAGATCTTTAGGTCAGAGGCTCCGGGTTTGGCCCCCTAAGAAAACCACCTGCTTCAGTTTGGGCACCTGAACAGTATCACAGCCCTGATACAAATCGAATAAGATTTGTGTGGCGCATATGTATCTGGTGCCCCATTGTACCAATATTTATGTGTTCAAATAAATAAATATTTAATCTATTTAAGCACTAGACTTTAGACAAGACCATTTTAAAACTAAAGCAAATAAAACATGACTACCTTGACTTTAACCAAACGGAATAGAATTCAAATTAAATAGATTAGTTTAATCATTAAGATATCACAGCTTAATCAACGACGAATCGCATTTTTTCTAATAAATAAATATATTCAACAACAACAAAAATACAAAAAAAAATCAACATACCTCATACTGACAGATACATTACGTTCAATAATACGTACACGATTATTAAGACGCATATATGCTGTTGATCGATGTGATCCACCTAAAGCAGCTGGTACAACTAATGCTTCATCATGATGTGAATGTGGACGATTCATTTTAAGTGATTTAATTGATGATGATGTAGATGTAGATGATGTTAAACTATTAGATGATTTACTATTTATATTATGAATAACAATATCAGCTGAATGATGATAATTATCAATGAACATTCTTTTATTATCTGTTGAATCGGTTAGATCATGAATAATAGGAGATTTAAATGATGATGATAATAATAAAAATGATGGTAGTTTGAGACACTATCAAAATGAAAAACATAAAGAAACAAAAATCAAGAAGATAATTAAAATTATCAGTAAAGAATTGTGGAAATCATTAAATGATGTCAGTCAGTCAGTCACTACGTACGTACGTACATCAGTTCGAGTTGCCATACCACAAAAACACAGAGATGAAGTTGTCGATTCAAATTCCATAGTGGTAGAAGTAGTAAGAGTATAAGCATTAATGTGAAACATTAGGGTTCGAAGATGTTATTCAAGGAGTATAATCCAGTAAAATAAATTTGAAAAGAGAAAAAAAGATAAAGACATGAAGAATTTGGCAGAACACAAAGAGTGGATGCACCTGCGCCATTCCAAACGATTTTGAACCATGTCATTTAAGGTCTCTAACCATCGGTTGTTATCATCTCGCGAATCCCAACCAGGTAGTCTACACCTATCAACATGGCTCAGTTCAATTGTCAGTGACTTCATGAATTTGTGCCACGTTTTGGTCTGGCCACCCCTAGCTTTCTTCCAACCTACTCGTACACCATTAAACATTGCACGTAGGGACAGTCGGCGGTTGGGCATACGTAACACGTGTCCCAGCCATCTCGACTGACGACGTTTCACTACTTCATCAATCGACTTGCCATTCTTACCTAGTACCCGTTTCCTAACAACTGCATTACTTACCCGGTCTGTCTGAGTAAATGTTATGATCATGTACCCGCCTATTAGAGAGCTATGAATTTATTGATCGAACCAATGTTACACGAAACCCGTACAAGCAGTCTTGAGTACTTATCAGTCCTGCTTTCTGCCTTGCCCAGCCAGTTAAGTCCAGAACACCAATAATAGTCTCTGCAATATGAATCATTATTCTCAAACATACTGGATTTATATACCAATCAACCTAACCACATTCTACCATAATAATATTTGTACAAGATTTAGCCAAATGTGGCTGCGAATAGGGGGAACAGTAATTAATAGAATAGGGATAACTCAAGAATGATGAATCGTATAATAATAGTCTATGGGTTAAGATAAAGCTCATAATAAAAGGAACATGAATATGAATAGTTAAGTTACTTAGCAATTATACAATAGGAAATATACATATCATATTGATCCATAAATAGTTCTCAAAAGTTACCATTCATAAGTATTAACTTATAAAGCGAAAAGTTCTATTTAATGGTTACTTAGTGGTAATTCAAACTGTAATAATAAGTGATAGAAAATTTTATTTAAACTATAAACGATATTGAATCAATCAATTCAATGATACTTAAATAATAATTCTATCAATTAATGTTATACCTACACTGTTTTGGAAGAAATCAAACAATATTGTTGATTCTATAATAATATGTTAAGTAACATGGGAAACTTTGGTACTTGAAGTAGATTACTAATATAATACAGTATGTCAGTTAGGTAATCTGGTTGTCTCAGTTGCTATAAGACGTGTAGTATTGCACAGAACAGTAGAGTTTAACAAAATAACTATTAGAAGGGGTTATGTGGAGATTTCAACTATGAAAAATAACTATTAACTACAAAGACGTATCGATAGATACTTTACACACACACACACACACAAATAATAGGTACAACTAAGTAATGAAGTAATACATAATCATGTATTGGACTATAATATTAACAACGAGTATATGATTAGAACTAATTTAGAAGATATATTCTTAAAAAGGCCATAAGTATACTTTTTTGTTAACTCATTTACCACGTACATATTTGTATAGTTCATTCCAAGTCATATCGCAAATGTAAAAATTGATGATATTACCCATCCTTCCAAACCGAAGTAGGTGAGATAGAGTTTAAACCTGAGGCTTATTGGATGGAAATCGAATCCTTTAACCATAGAGTCACCGCTTCAAGCTTGCTAGCTATAAGCAACGGAATGATTACATATGGTGGATAACATAAGGGCATTCAAATCAGTTAAAAAGCACTGAAAGCCACTTTATGCTCCGCTTTTCAGTGGCTAGTGACACCGATTGCTTTTGACCTGACCTTTGTACATAGAAAGAAAGTGTAATGTTTGCCTATTACATAATCGCCTTTTGCTGCAAGTCCGAGTTCCAACACTTAAATAGCAGTCACTCATGACATTAATTTCAAACTTATATCAATTATTTAACCTACTCACTTAGCCATTTTGCTTCTTTAATAGTATTAATGATATCGTCCCATTGTTTAGATTACTTCATTTTTCATATATAAATATATATATACTCATTAACCTAAACTATTATGTCTTTACAATTGATTGATCACTGGGTGGTGATCAATGTCGTGTGTGTCAGGTTCTTTTTAGTACAGACTAGATCCTATCGACTAAGTTGCAATATGGCCACTAGTCTAGGTGACTCAACATTGCGTGCATCATGTTGAGATAAGATGGTGGTTGGAGGTAGTCGACAGAAAACTCTGGACTTGGGTTTCATGCTATTTGCCACTTGTTAGCAAGGTGTACCTGTTATCTTTAGGGAACTGATGCTTCTTGACGGACTCGATCCAGTCGTATCCGGAATAGCCTAGTGGTAAGGTCGCTGACTGCAAAACTGTGTTAATGAGAGAACCAATTCAGTTAGCAAAAGTAAAACCAGAAAGAATTCCTTCAGTTAAAGAAGTTACGTTAATTTTTATGAAGTAAAGAAAAGTTACAGCAGGATAACCACTAGTTTCTATTCTGAGGCATGTCTGATAATGTTTCTAGCCACTGTGTTATTCCATCTCTAGGATCCCAACCAAGGAGTCATGAAGATCCAACAGAAGCTAGTCCTGTATATCATTCTCTCAAACCATACCATGTCATAAACTGACCACCTCTCCACATTTTACAAACAACCCAGCCTCGGTGAATAATGCACCACGTGGAATTCTCTGGGACGACATTCGTAGAACATGTCCAAGTCACCGAAGTTGATGTTTCAAGATAGTGACACCAATTGAATTATCGCCTCTGCGCCCAAACACACGATGTCGAACCTCTGCATTACTAACATGGTGTTGCCACTGGATGTCAGCGATCCTTCGGAGACAACGATGATCAAACGTAGAGAGCCGTTTAACATCCTCAACTCGGAGAGGCCACATTTCACAAAAATAGAGCAAAACTGCTCTCACTGACGCGTTGTAGATCCCACCTAGACTAACATCATAAGGACATCAAAGATTTTCTGGATCGGCATAGACCGCTCTGGCTTTCAGTATACGTGAATCGATCTCATCACTAACACCACCATCAACACTTAGGCAGCTTCCCAGATACACGAACTTCTCGACTCCTTCTATCTACCTACCACCCAGGGTGAGTATTGGATCATGGTCCTACCAGTCTTATAAAAGTACTTTGCACTTCGAAGGTTTAAAGCACATACCATACCTATGGACATTAATTGCCAACTGATTAAGTGCAGATTACATGGCTTGGGTATTATCGCACAGTAAGACAATATCATCCACATACTTAAGATCGAGAAGTCTTTCTCCAGGCAACAAATCCAAACCAACATTACCTACATCCATCAGAGCTGTTTCCAGAATACTATCGATGGCTAATTTGAAGAGGAATAGTGAGATTGGGAAACTCTACCTAATCCCACTGCTTGGGTGGAACAATGGAGAGAGGTGGCTGTATGTACTCATTCTGTCTGAGGTGTCTGTATACAGGGCCTTTTAGATAATAATAAACTCCTCAGACACACCCTTCTTTAATAGACAATCCCAGAGAACAGTCCTGTCCAACGAATTGAGGGCGTCTGTAATGTCAAGAAGCACTATGATTAGTGTTCTAACATTTGGCGGGTTTTGAACAATCTACGAAGTATGACGGAAGACAATAGTTTGGACGCAATCGAGAGTAGACTTATCCCCCGATAGTTGTTTCAGAAACGACGTGAACCCGTTTTAAAGATAGGGTTAACTGTCGACTTATTCGATAACGTCGGAACACTCTCTGGCTCCCAAACCTTTGTAAATAACACAGTAAGTTCCTTAGCCAGAAAGTCACCACCATCTCTAAAAAGTCCGGAGGTAGGTAATCTGGGCCCGGTGATTAGTAGCGCTTCAAAAGTTGGAGTTCGTTGCAGACTTCCACCTCATTTGGTGTATCAGTCGTCACAGGCCATAGAGGGAGGGACAGTCTGATCGATGTTACTGAGGCAGCAGACCAGTTGAACTGCCCTTTAAAACCTCTGCCCATCGTTCAAGATGTCGATAGATGTTAGTGACTGATATCCCGTCATCTTTACAGACTGTTTTGCTCATACCAGACATCTTGTTGCCAGTTTCTTGAAGAGTACTTCTTCTCGAGGTAAATAAACAGGAAAGTTGGCTAGTAGTGTAGTCGACCCACTGTCAAAGCCCATTAAGACTTCCCCCTCAGACCTTAACTTTCTGTACGATAGATTCAAACTTATGACTAGATCAATATTTACCTTAACAATATATAACTATTAATTTAGTTCAATAAATGAATATGAAATTTTAAAGTTCATTTTTAGAATAGAATCACCAATAAGAATCATTCACCTTATAATTGTCAATTGTATTATTCCATAGTAAACTATTTAATTGTCTCCAATTCCAGCTAAACAACTCACAACAATCATTAATACCATACAATGATGAATATGAAAAGGATGTACATTCAATACAATAGGATGATGATACATTTTTTAAATCCCTTTGTTAAGTAAAATTTTATGTAAACATTTTATACAAGTTACTCATTGTGAACAACATGATCGCGAGTACTTTTATTGAATGGACAGTCATCAATTCGTGGTTGCTAATACAATGGAAGGATACTTATTCTTATTCTTCTTCTCGAGGCAACTAAATAACAAAGTTGACTAGTAGTGTTGTCGAACCACTATCAAATTCCATTAAAATGAGCAGTACGACTTCACCCTCCCCCTCAGACCTTAACTTTCTATACAATAGATTCAAACTTATGACTAGATCAATATTTACCTTAACAATATATAACGATTAATTTAGTTAAATCATTTACCATATAATTGTCAATTGTATTATTCCATAGTAATCTATTTAATGTTCTCCAATTCCAGCTAAACAACTCACAACAATCATTACCATCATACAATGATGAATATGAGAAGGATGTACATTCAATACAATAGGATGATGATGATGATGATGACTGTAATAAAGTTTGATTATGTTGCATCATTTGATATGCCATAAATAAATATCCAATACTTTTATCTAATTCATATATAGACCAATGATAATAGGGTTGCCCATATTGGGAATTGGTTATCATTGTTAAATTCAATTGATTAATAGCGCGAGAACATTCTTCTATTTTCATTGGATGGATTATATTCAATGATTTCAATGAATAAGATAAATATTGTATATCTAATAATCTAAGACATTTACGTAAATACCATAAACCTTTAATTTGATTCATTGTTAAATACATCATAGAATGATTACATAATAGATTATATAAACCCATTGGATTAAATAAATAATTAATTGTATGATAATTTTCTAATGTTGGAACAATATCATTCAAAATTAAATAGTGATTGTTAGTATCTAAGAAAAAAATAAAATAAACAATGAATGGTTATGATCAGAAAGGGTTTTGTGAAGATTTCATTATTTTTCAAAGTTGAAATCATGAGTCAATTGAAGTTAGACCACCAGCGAAAACCTGGAAGCACTGGACGGCCGTTTCGTCCCACTGTGGGACTCCTCAGCAGCGCGCATCCACGATTCCGCACTGGCGATATTCGACCTCAGGACCTACCAGTCTCGAGCCAGAGCCCTTAACCGAATCAAATTTCGGCGACACTATAATTTATGGACGAACCAATCAGAAGCTTTTGGGGGATCTCAAGGTCACGGCGCCAATTTCAGTACCTGATGCTCATGTTTATTTATTTAAACACATAAATATTGGTAAAAGGAAGCACCAGATACATATGCGCCGCACAAATCTCATTTAATTTGTGTGAGGGCTGTGATACTGCCCAGGTGCCCAAACTGAGTCACGTGGTTTTCTTAAGGAGCCATACTCGGAGTCTTTAACCCTAAAGATCTGATCCACAAGGCAGTGGAGTATCGTAAGGAGATGCAGTCTCATGGTAGCCGGTGTCCAACGATTGATTCATACGCCATTCGTTCCTTCATGATACTGAAGCCCATGTGCACCATTGGTTTGGAATCAGTGTTTTCCAACTCCCCTAGGTGGATCCTCCGTGTCCACTAACTCGATTAAAGCACCGGACATTTGCTTTTCGTCCTCTCAATTTTGTGAACAACACCCCCGCCACGAGAAGGTAGTGAGTAGGACTTGTGTGGCAGAGGCTATATACGTGTGGCTATGTGAGAGCATTTCGAGAGGGAGAGCAGACTCTCCCCACTCTAGGCCGTACCAGGGCATTCGGGGGCTCATGTACGATTGGTTTATAGAGAATTTTAGAGAAGACTTGACAATTAAGCGGCTACAACAAATCATACTACTAAGAAGTTCCTGTATTTGTAATTGAGGGCATTAAATGACTTGTAGACCCTGTGCAGACTAACGTGATGTTGTCCTTCGATGTAATATATGTTGAAGGAAAGCGTTTGCTAGAATAAGAACCTTTATCTCTCGATCCAGATTGAGACTAAGGCATATTTCAACAATTGTCGCCAACTGTATAATAAAAGCACCAGTAACATTGGCTGCAATAATCGCAGATGTCACTGAAACTTCGACTGTTCAGTGGTATGAGTATTGTAGGGACATATCCATAATGAAAATGATAAACTTACACAACCGGAGTACACACAAACAATATTGAAGTTATATGGTCGAGGCTGAGAGGGTTTTTGTGACCTTATCATGTTTTCAAAGACCAACGATTATGCAACCATATGGATGAGTTCCTTTACCTTATGCATTAACTTACGCCACACACATCATTCGACTTGTGTGGGGGCTGTGATACTGCCCAGATGCTCAAACCGAAACAGGTGGTTTTCTTACAGGACCACAGCCGGAACCTTTGACCTAAAGATCTGATCCATAAGGCAGTGGAGCATCGTAAGGAGATGCAGTCCCATGGTAGCCGGTCACCAACTATTGATTTATACGCCATTTGTTCCTTCAAAATACTGGAGCCTATGTGCACCCTTGGTTTGGAATCAGTGTTTTCCAACACCCCTATGTGGACTTTCCGTGTGAACCAACCCGGTTAAAGCGCTGGACATTCGCTTTTCTTCCTCTCAATTTCGTAAACCACAACTCCGCCACGAGAAGGTAGTGAATAGGACTTTCCTGACAGAAGCTATATACGTGTGGCCATGTAAGTGCATTTTTCGAGGTAGAACGGCCCCTCCCCATTCTCAGCCGTACCAGGGCATTTGGGGAGTGATTACATTCTATAGTTTGTACTAACACAGTATAACTTCAAAATTCACCTTATTCATACGAAAATAATCTTTTACTAATCTGTTCTCTCATATATTGTTGTTCCAGTGTTGTTGAAAATTGATTGTAAATTTTCAACTATTTTACTACTACTTATTAACGATTTCATCTGATCCACACAACAACAACAAAAAAGAAAGGTAATAATTATAAATTAAGGTGTGAAATGAATGAATCAATAAGAGACAATAGTACTACATGTAACATTATACCATACTATATATAGACAATTAAGCAAGAATATAGAAAGTTTATTGAGTAGTTTATGAATGGACAATAATAGTAAAATGAGAAAAACAATTACGAAAAGAAATAACTAATGTTTAACAACTTTATGTTTCTTATAACATTGTTTATATACAGTAGTTCTTAATTTAATTACATTACAGTTTTAAAGCACAATACATATATAAACACATTACAGTCAGTCAGTCAGTCAGCTAAAACGTAGGACCAGGAACATATATGCATCGGTTCAAGTTGCCATACCTCGTTAGCACAACAAGATCAACACCGGATTCATAGAAGTACTTATTTTAGTGGCGGTGGTATATAAAAGAAAGGTTGTATATGATGATATAATATAGGAAGGAAGAAAGATATGAAACAATTTTAATCTCAAGGTTTAAGGGAAGATAAAAAGTGTATACACCTACGCCATTGTGATCGATCCTGAGTCATATCACCCAGAGACTCCAACCATTGGTCACGATAGTCACGCGGACCTCAACCAAGTAGTCTGCATTTATCAACATGGCTCAGACCTCACTATTACTTACCCGGTGATCCCAGTAGATGCGAGCAATATTTCTAAGGCATCTGTGGTCAAATACTAGAGTATCTTCTACTCTAAATGGCCATGTTTCACAGCCGTAAAGTAGAACAGAGCGAACTGCTGCGCAGTATACTCTAAACACACAACAAGTCAGATCTCAAAATGGAAGTTTGATTTTACACTATACTTAAGAAAGTATGGTATTTAACTATTATAAGGATGAATGATTACTATTTTTATTGTTGCTACCAATATGATTCACATGATGAGTCAATATAATCCCCAAAATGCCCTGGTACGGCCGAGAGTGGGAAGAGTCAGCTCTCCCTCACGAATAGCTCTCACATGGCCACGCGTATACAACCACTACCAGGAAAATCCAACTCACTGCCTTCTCGTGGCGGGAGTGTTCTCTACAAAATTGAGGATGGAAGGCGAATGTTCGACGCTTCAACCAGGTTGGTGTACACGGAGCACCTACTTAGGGGATTTGGAAAACCCTGATTCCCGACCAATGGTACACATAGGCTCCAGTATCCTGACGGAACAAATGGCGTATGAATCAATCGTTGGACACCGGCTACCATGGGACTGCATCTCCTTACGGTACTCCACTGCCTTGTGGATCAGATCTTTAGGGTTAAAGACTCCGAGTATGGCTCCTTAAGAAAACCACGTGACTCAGTTTGGGCACCTGGGCAGTATCACAGCCCTCACACAAATTAAATGAGATTTGTGCGGCGATTATGTATCCGGTGCTTCCTTGTACCAATATTCATGTGCCCAAATAATAATAATAATAATAATAATAATAATAATAATAATAATAATAATAAATAAAAATACCTCCTACACTGATATTCAAAATGCCAAATAAACATATTTTGTCTAAAAAGCAAACAAATTTTACAAAACACCCAAATGAATCATATTTATTGAAATTATTTACCTTTAGCTGATGGGAAAAACTGTGAAAAAATACCAAATATAGTATGTTTTATAGCATCTGAAATGAAGAAAAACAGATAATTAGTAAAACTATTGAATTTTTCACATGAATTGTAAAGTAGATTTACATAAAAAAGAAGCTAGACCACCATGAAAAACTTGGAAGCACTGCATGGCCGTACTATTGTGAGACTCCTAAGAAGTGCGCATCCACGATCCCGCAATTTAAGGAAAAATATATCATTGTTGACCTTTTATCAAAATGTTGAACCAATATTCACGTTATCAAATTTCTTATCGACAAAAATGTAGGAGGTATAAGAATTGACGAAAAACATAAGCATGGCCATATGCAAACCAGGAACAAACTGATATCAAGTTATAAGCTGAGTGAAGTATAAATAAACTTGACTTATCAACCAAGTGTACAACTATTTAAAGCATTATACTTGCACAACCAATTATAAGACCACCATTGAGAAACTGGAATCACCGGACGCTACCACCATTGGATCCCGACATATTGGTCTAGAGATTAAGCGTTCATGTGTGGACCGAAAATTATGGGTTTGATATATATATAATCTTTTGTAATAAATTTTCGCTTGACTCATTAACTACTGTTATACGACTTATTATTCTTAATCTGTTGACAGTTTGTTACTTACAGTCTCCCTTACTGACAGCCACTTTTTGAATTGATCATGGTATAGTTGTTGCTTTTCATCTTATTGTGTGATTTGGTCTCATATGTCTGTACATAAAGTACATAGGTTTGAAATATAATATTCGTATAGTGGAAGCTGATTACTGACTTCTGGACTCAAGAAACACAGCAGAGCAGAAAGAGAAACTACAGGGTCGCGAACCAATAAAGAATTAGAGATTGAATCAAAGTTACTGGTACTAGTGTAATTGGTCAAATCAGAGACACTGAGGTATAGAAATTGGGATTCTGATGGATGGTTTAGTTACATGACAATATACAGCTACCATAAGTTATAACAAAGAGAGTTCATCAAATGAACAAAGTTATCTAATGATTTTTCAGTTTTACTTACTTCCCAATCGAGTAAATAGGTTCATTGGATTGAAAACTTGATTAAAGAGTTTATTATGCAATTTCGATGTTAAATTAACTGTATTCATGTTTTGTAATGATTTATTATTTTGTCCAATTTGACCAATAGGCGATGGTAATTTCATTGTGGCTGATGCTTTATCATGAATATTTACAGTTGGATAAAAATGAGATTTATGTGGAGTTGGTGAATCACTGTTTGTAACCTTGGAAGTATGACAATTAGTTGTTGTAGAATGATCATTGATATTATTTATAGAACGATACAGTATTGATCCAGCTAAAAGATATAAACAAAACTACATTATTCTAAAGGATTAAAAGTAATTAATCTCAGGGAAGTTCTACTCACTGCATTCTCGTTAAAGGGGTGTCGTTTACGAAATTGAGAGGATAAAAAGCAAATATCCGGAGCTTTAACCGGGTTGGTGGACACGGAACATCCACCTAGAAGAGTTGAAAAACCCTCATTCCAAACCAATGGTGTACATGAGTTCCAGTATCCTGAAGGAACGAATGGTGTATGAATAAATTATTGATCATTGGCTACCATGAGACTGCATCTCCTCACGATGCTCCACTGCCTTGTGGATTAGACATTTAGGTCAAAGGCTCCCGAGTGTGGCCCCCTAAGAAAACCACCCGCTTCGGTTTGAGCACCCGAGCAGTATCATAGCCCTCACACAATTAAAATGAAATAACAACTTTTTTGTGTAGCGCTTATATATTTATGTGTTCAAATAAACAAATAATAATAAATACAGCATATGATTAACAAGGAATTTTCATCCAATGCACGCACATGATGTACAAACAATTATGTTGAACAAACCGTAATAAGATAACAACATATCAGTCAGTCATACACTAAACATTCAAACAAAAATAGATCGCTAACATTGAAAATTGGATATGACGTATCTAAAATAAGACATAATCAATTGTTTACAGATTTACCACTTTGTAACATTGAGTCATGAGACTGAAATTCGTTCATCATATGAACTCTATCTAAAGTTTGATTACATCATTATCATTTTTGTTTTATTTATAACTGACTAGTTTCATTATTATCATTAATCTGTTTTCAGTTACTTTATTACATAATCATCTAATGTTTGTTAAATCTATGAATTTTAATCACTAGTTGAGTGTTCTGAAAATTCCCCCCCCCAAAAAAAAAACTTTATTTATTTATCTGAAACAAACAATTTTTCATAGTTGAAATCATGAGTCAATTGAAGCTAGACCACCATGGACAACCTAGAAACACTGGACGACGTTTCGTCATATTGTGGGACTCCTCAGCAGTGCACATCCACGATCCCGCACTCGCAAGATTCCAACCCACGACCTACCAGTCACATGTTAGGGCACTTAACCGATAGACCACTGAGCCGGACGGCATCCAACGGTGTTAATGTCAATCAATCCATGAAGTTTGAACAACCGTTCACCAATTGTCTTCAATGAGTTGTTGTCTCGATTTTTCATCATCATTATTCTGCACCAATCTTTGTTTTTGATCTCTTTAAGAAATTCGTTCAATTAACTAAGATCTGTACAACTTAATAATATTATTATTCATTACAAACAAATATCATTGTAACTTAAGCACTTGATAAATTTATGAGGCATTACTGCCCCCAAATGCCCTGCTACGGTCGAGAGTGGGGAGAGTCTACTCTCCCTCTCGAAATGCTCTCACATGGTCAGTGAATATATAGCCTCTGCCAGGGAAGTCCTACTCACTGCCTTCTCGTGGCGGGGGTGTTGTTAACGAAAGTGAGAGGACGGAAAGCGAATCTCCGGAGCTATAACCGGATTGGTGGACACGGAGGGTCCACCTAGGGGAGTTGGAAAACCCTGATTCCAAACCAATGGTGCACATGGGCTCCAGTATCCTGATGGAACGAATGGCGGAAGAACCTGTCATTAGTCAACGGCTACCATGGGACTGCATCTCCTCACGATGCTCCACTGCCTTGTGGATCAGACCTTTTGGTCAAAGGCTCGGGGTGTGGCCCCCTAAGAAAACCACCTGCTTCGGTTTGGGCACCCGGGCAGTATCACAGCCCACACACAAATAAATGAAATGATGAACTCTATTGACGATACTATCCCTGCTCATACTAAAAGCAAGGCAATTTACATTATTATTATTATTACCTTTATTATTATTATTACCTTTATTATTATTATTATTATTACCTTTATTATTATTATTATTATTATTATTATTATTATTGTTATTATTATTTACCATATCGCTAACTCACCCCCTTTTATCCCCAATTTGTGTAACCTTACTTTTCAACTTATGCAGCAGCTCGCCCATGGTGGAAAATCTGTCCTATCTAAACGATCTCCAGTCACTGTCTGGTTGAAAGTGAATGCTTCCACCGATTATGAATACTGAAGCAGTCTTTCTGAAACCACGTACGCCGTTCAAGCTGGCTTACTTCAACGTTCGCACACTAATGCATATCAGACAACAGATAGGGATGGCTATGTCTTTGGAAGGTCTTAATGTTGATGTTTGTTGTCTATCCGAGACCCGTATTCAAGACTCTAGTGAAGTACTACAAATCCGCTCTCCATCTGTCGCCTCGAAAAGCTTGTTCCACGTGCGCTTATCCGGGGACCCTGTGGCATCTTCGTCTGGTCTTGCTGGCGTTGGTGTCGCACTAAGTGCTAGGGCTGAGGCAGCACTAATCGATTGGATCCCCATTAACAGTCGATTATGTGCTGTTAGATTAGAAAGTTCCATCAAAGTGAGAAGAAACCGGCGTGAGAAACGGTGTCTTTTCGTCATCTCCGCCTATGCCCCGACAGATTGCAGCCCGGATGCAATCAAGGATGAGTTTTACCATCAGTTAACAGTTCTTCTCCAGAAAGCGCGTTCGACAGATATTGTAGTACTAGCCGGAGACTTGAATGCACAGGTCGGGCGTCTAGGCACAGAAGAGAGTCGTCTAGGTGGCCGATGGGGACTTGTTGGTCGCCGGACAGATAACGGGGACCGTTTGCTGCAACTGTGCACAGACCACAACCTGTTTCTGGCCAACACTAACTTCCGGCACAGTCATCGCCGGTGTGCCACCTGGCGTCCTCCCTCTGCATCCCAAGCCTGGAATCAGATTGTTCACATCGCGATCAGCTACCGCTGGCGTGGTTGTGTACAAGACTGCCGCTTCTTTTGGAGTACCTATCTGGAGTCTGATCATGCCCTGGTCTGCGCCAATCTCACCTTACTTTTCAGTGGCCGAAGGATTGACCACCACCAACGGATTGATGTTAGTAAACTGGCTGCAACTTCTGTTGCAAGTAAGTATCGAGCGGAGCTAGCCTCTAGGCTAGCTACCACCCCACCGAAAAGTATAGATGAGCATTGGTTGCTTCTTCACGACGCCATGAAAATGGCGAGTAAAGCCGCTTGCGTCTTCACGAAACGTCCCGCTTACAAGCACTGGGTTTCTTCTGGCTCCTTACAACTGATGGAAGCCCGTCGGTCTACTCCGGGTGACCGTGAGTTTGACCACAAACGAAGGCTGTTACGTAATGAAATCGGGCAAAGCTTGCGTAAGGACCGGGAAGCCTGGTGGTCGGAGCGTGCTAATGAGATGGAAGCAGCAGCTGCATCTGGTTACTGCCGGAAGCTCTTCCAACTCATCCGAGCCACTGGCAGCAAGAAGTCTGGTGTGAGTGAAACAATCTACGAGGATGACGGGATGCCAATCACTAACATCTCTCGACGTCTTGGACGATGGGTGGAATTTTTCGAAGGGCAGTTCAACTGGCCTGCTGCTCTGGCAACATCAACCAGCTTATCCTGCCCCCCATGGCCGGTGACGACTGATCCACCAAACGAGGCGGAAGTCCGCAAGGAACTCCAACTCTTGAAACGTTACAAATCACCGGGCCCAGATGACTTACCTCCGGCTCTTTTTAAAGATGGTGGTGACTTTCTGGCTAAGGAACTGACTGCGTTGTTTGGAAAGCTTTGGGAGCAAGAAAGTGTTCCAACATCTTGGAATGAGTCAATAGTCGTCCCTATCTTTAAAAAGGGTTCACGTTGTTCCTGCAATAACTACCGGGGGATAAGTCTACTTTCGATTGCGTCCAAACTATTGGCTTCTATCATTCTTCGTAGGTTGTTTAAAACCTGAGAACGATTGACTCGCGAGGAGCAGGCTGGTTTTCGTTCTGGTCGAGAATGCATTGACCACATCTTCACCCTCCGCCAAATGTTAGAACACCGTCATACTTATCGCAGGCCAACAATCGTAGTGTTTCTTGATATCAGGGCTGCCTTCGATTCGTTGGACAGGACTGTTCTCTGGGATTGTCTATTGAAGAAGGGTGTGCCTGAGAAGTTCATTAACATCTTAAAGGCCCTGTATACGAACACCTCAGGCAGAGTGAGGGCATACAACCACCTTTCTCCCTTGTTCCATTCGAGCAGTGGGGTTAGACAGGGTTGCCCGATCTCACCATTCCTCTTCAACTTTGCTATCGACGACATCCTGGAAACAGCTCTGATGGATGTAAGTAATGGCGGTGTGGATATGTTGCCTGGAGAACGACTTCTCGACCTCGAGTATGCGGATGATATTGTCTTACTGTGCGATAATGCTCAAGCCATGCAATCCGCACTTAATCAGTTGGCAATCAGTGTCCTCAGGTACGGCATGTGCTTTGCACCCTCCAAGTGCAAAATACTCCTACAAGACTGGCAGGATTCTAATCCTGTACTCACCCTGGATGGTGAGCAGATCGAAGTAGTTGAGAGGTTCGTGTATCTAGGTAGCTATATAAGTGCTGGTGGTGGCGTGAGTGATGAGATTGATGCACGTATAATGAAAGCCAGAGCGGCTTATGCCAATCTGGGCATCTTTGGCGCCTTCGTGATGTTAGTCTGGCTGTAAAAGGTCGGATCTACAACGCGTCGGTGAGAGCAGTTTTGCTCTATGCTTGTGAAACCTGGCCTCTCCGAGTTGAGGATGTTAGACGTCTCTCTGTGTTCGATCATCGTTGTCTCCGAAGGATTGCTGACATCCAGTGGCAACACCATGTTAGTAATGCAGAGGTTCGGCATCGTGTGTTCGGGCGCAGAGACGATAATTCAATTGGTGTCACCATCTTGAAACACCGACTTCGGTGGCTTGGACATGTTTTACGAATGTCGTCTCAGAGACTTCCACGTCGTGCATTATTTGCCGACCCTGGGACTGGTTGGAAAAAGCGGAGAGGAGGTCAGTGTATGACATGGTGTCGTGGCATGAAAGAGAGCTGCAAAGGGCTAGCTTCCGTTGGTCCTTCACGACTCCCTGGTTGGGGTCCGAGAGATAGTGCAACACAGTGGCTAGAGACGTTATCAGATATGGCTCAGAATAGAAGCCAGTGGCCATCCTGCTGCGACCTTCTTTTACTTTCTACATAAAGAATGGTTCTAACTTTCCTAACTGAAAGAGTCTTCTGGTTGTACATTTCAGCCCGCCTTATCTTTTCATCCCTTCTCTTCCTACTTTCATTATTTTGTGTGGCGCATATGTACCTGGTGCCCTTTTGTACCAATATATATGTGTTTAAATAAATAAATAAAATAAAAATGAGGCATCACGATACAATAATACACTTCATTTTCTTGAGTATAACATGAAAATTTCGTTTACCCCCCCCCGCTCGTGAACTGAAGAGTAATACTATAAAGATGAAGCCTTCCATATTCTTGTGTGAAGAACCACTGGTCTTTTACATTTGTTGTGATATGCTATTTTAACATCATCTATATGTTGTCTATAAGTAAACTATTCCATGAAACAACAATGTACAATATGGTATTGAGAGGCTTTAACAATAATAAGAATGGTATGAATGAAGGTTTACAGAGAATACTTGAACAGAATAAACCATCTCACTGTTATATAAAGTTAAAAATGTTATCAGTGTTTTTCTGGCAAAAGTAGATGTGATTGCAAAATATAATCTAGTATTGTAAGCGATAAACTTGGGACATCATCAAACGATAATTATCGTATCCGTGCTGAAGAAATGAATAAGATGTCTGAATCTTGAAAAACAAGCCCACAGACTGTGTGAGGGATGGGACGCTGCCCGGGTACATATCGTGTGGGGTGTGGCACCCTAAGAAAACCACTTGCTCCGGTTTGGGCATCCGGGCAGTATTCCAGCCCTCACACATATATATACGCATATATACTTGGTGTCTTCTTGTAGCAATCTTTATGTCTTTAAATAAAATAAGAGTATCTGAAGACCTAACGGAAAACAAAGACTGAGTGCATCTGTGCCGTTGCGTCTGACTCTAATGTTACGCAACTCAACTTAAGACGCTTCTTTAGAGGACAACTAAACAACCATGGTTGTTATCATCCTAGAAATTAAAGACCGAAAAAACTCACCTGGACAAAATGGTTTGTGAAGCGCCTTCACAGGATCTATTTTCTCACAAAATTTGTTTTTATAATTATCATTGTGATTTTCTAAACTGCCTCCAGTGGTTGTTTGTTCCGAATGTTTCTTACTTCGATCTCCCAATAATTTATGGTGGTGATCAGAAGAAGCGGTATCATCAGTGTGGTACATAGTCGAGGAATCCACAGATGAATCACTGTTAGTAGAATCAATATTAGACAACTTGTCAACAATGTGTTTATGATCATGATCATCATTCTGATTGTTAGGATAATCTTCACTGGTCAAATCTGAATTAGTTAGTTTAATTTCAGGATCATATGTACTGACATTGACTATGTGATGATTGTTGTCTTCCGTTATCCCTGTAGTATCATACATACCATCATTACTACTAGTAGTATTCAATGAAGTTTGATCATCTTTACGCTCATTTTCTGTGTAGATAAAAAAGGAGAAAGAGAATAAGAAAATGCTATAAACAATAATGAATATTTATTTTCCAGTTCCCGACCGTTGTTGCTACCTTGACGTGGTGGTCGGGCTTGCCTATCGTAATGAACCAATCGAGCTATACTGGCTGGAACAATCGTTCCTCAAGGTCCTACCATGCCAAACAAGTCGGTTGAAGAGCGGTGAAACTAAAAGCATCAAACCCAAGGTCCGAAAGCGAAGTCGTACTGCTGACTGTACAGAGGTGTGACAGCAGTAAGGTGTTTCCTTCAGACAACCAGCATAACAGCGATGCTACCTTCCCATAAGGAGGAGTGGGGTTAGAAAAAGTCGACCCTAAAATGCACACTTCGCCTTATCCCACAGATTTTCGTTCCTGGCTGAAACGTTCAAACAAGTACGGAGCTAACACGCAAACGACTCACAAAGAGGTCGTGTGTGACCGGCCTCAAGCAGTTGTACCTTTGGCACTGCGGTCACGCTCTCAGGTCATTAAGACCACTTCCAACCCGATTTCCTTTTCAGGTACCTCTAGAAGAACCCTTCCACGGTGTGGGCAACCGTGAAGTGATAACTGCCCTCATACCTCTAACAGCACTCAAGACCACTGTATTCATTTTCCAGTTATTATTTATGGTAACGGTTTTTATGTGTGAATGTATTTTTTGTATTCCTGTTGTTCAAAAGTTAGTTTAATCAATCTATGTTAGCAGTATATAAGCATATTCTTTGAATAGACAACTTAATTGTCATAATTTAGGAGATTTATGAATACTCCGTGGAGGGAATCGACATTTACTGACTTATCAGTGTACGATCTCACAACAGACTAATATTTGTTTCAAAATTAACCGTCAGTACAAATGAACAGCTCTTTTTTGTAAATGATATAGTCTTTTCAGTGTTGTGTGAAGACATTAAAATACAATTTCTTAGAGTATAGTGTTTGACAATCGAAGATAGTGATATAACATAATAATGAGGAATAACTATGGTCAAAGGTTAGGATTGACATTTAGTTCATATATATGCTAATCTCTAATTCTAATCCTAAACATAAAACAACTACAATTCTAACCCTAAATCCTAATTCACACCTTAATATTAACCCGGAAAAACATAATAGAAAAATATTCTTCCGCCTCATGTCTCTGTGCACTTGTACGTCGTCATTTCCATCTCTCATTCACATATGAGTGTACATCTTTCGTAACCGAACGTTTTGTAAGTATCTGATGTTTTATGGTACGAAATTGATCATCGTATGACCAACGACCAAAATTCTGGCTTGATAAATGTCACCCTAGATTAATATGCGTGCCACAACATTGAATTTCCTCTATTAATCCTAACTGGTTCGATAGTATACTTAGAATTAACTGCTACATATGTGAAAATTAGCAGGTATGATTAATTATAAAAGTGTTATATCCCGAAAAGAATTATGAATGGTAACTTTTGAGGACTATTTATGGACCAATATGATATGCATATTTCCTGTTGTATAAATGTTAAGTAACTTAGCTATTCATATTCATGTTTCTTTTATTATAAGCTTTGTTTTGACCTATGAACTTTTACTACACGATTAACCATTTTTGGGTTATGCCCTGTCTATCAATTACTATCTCCCTTATTCACAACCACATTTGGCTAAATCTTGTACAAATGTTGTTTCCTATTTTATGGTACGATTTGGTCTATCTGTTTGGTAAACCCAGTATGTTTGATATAAATGATTCATATCGCAGAGGCTGTTATCGGTGTTCTGGACTTGACAGACAAGACTATGCGGGAAGCAATGACCGAATAAGGACTCTAGACTGCTCATACATATTTTACGCGTCATTGGTTCGATCGATAAAACACTGCTCTCTAATTGGCGGTAATACCACGTTATACATTACTAGGGCACACAGGCTACAAGTTATAACAAAAAGCAATAATGTCAAACTACATACTTGCGTTATCTTTAGTAATGATATCATTTTCATGATTTTCCAAATGCTGATTTTTATCCTGCGTCGGAGTAATTGTCGAATCATGATTTGAAGTAGTTTCTGGCACATTCATTAATCGAACATCAACATCATCAACATCGTCATCATCATCTAAATCATCGGAACCCAAACCAAATATTCTAATCATCGTTAATGGACAATAATGTTCTGAACCATAGTGTTCAATCAATTCGAACTGTGTCAAAAAAAGAGGTAAAAATGCTGGACCAATAAGAAGACATAGTATTTCTCAATATAATCTCTTACCTTTTAAAAAAATCTACTATGCAAGCTTGAAACTTAACAATCATGTAACTCACAAAGTAAACCTTTATGTACTAGCCTTCCAACCACATTCAACATCTGAAGGGGTAGTCATATCCGGCCGCCCAAACAGAAGTCTAATCACTAAATCAACTACTTGGTGCAGATTACTGTATTAAACTTTAAGTCGAACTCGAAGTGTGTGTTAGTAATATTACCTAGCTGATCAAACTGAAGTGCGTGGAGCAGGGTTCGAACCTGAATGGTTCGTACTTTTTTTTCAAAGTCAGTCAGTTGAAAAGATAGTGGTGATTATCATTTAGTTCTATTGGTTAATGACAACTTTGTCTCAGTATTTGTAAGTAAGCCATGTGCACTTTGAAGCTATAGAAATTTAAGTCAATTTTACAAGGATGAAGAGGAGCTGGTGTATACATGTTCAATGTTTGTGGTTTGTTCTTGAAAATAGTTAGAATGTTTACGCATACCGGAACCAGTTTGGGTTCTGAGTGTTGACAAACGAGATCAATCTATGTGCATTGAAAGCCTTAGACGCCTATGCACTCAAAGCAATCTTGTTCTATGCTTGTTAAACCTAATCCCTCCATGATAATAATTTTTGATAGACCTATGTTTAATCATCAGTACCTTTGATAAATATTACACACTTGCTTGTCCATTATAACTCCTTAGATAAAATCGTAAAGTCTACGCAACTTAGTGTCTCGATACATTATCCAACATTACTTAAAATAAGAGCAAATGGCGATCATACTATAGCATCTTATTATGCTTTTTCATAAAATTAGGATCCACCTTCTTGAATGGATGAAGTCTCTCCTAATCTTCTCATTCGAACTATCGTCGAACTGTATACACCTCCACAAAATATCTTAGTAAATATATGAAGGAAAAGGCAGGGAAGCCACACTACAGCAAGCTGGTATGAGTTCCCACTAACTTCGAACAAAGTTTCATCTCTGTATTTTAAACTCTACTTGTGATTTCGACTTTGAAACATTACAAATTGTAAACAAGAATAAATGAGAACCTAACAAAGTGAAAACGAATTTATTGTTCTTAATCTTTATACAAAAAGTCAATCAAATGTAACTATAAATAGTATATCCTTTCAACTGGACGACTAACAACTACAATTCAAATACAATTAACTTACTTTAACATATTTGATCATTTTTCCACCAACAACACTGAAAGACTGTATTCCCTTAACATCTCGGGCGGTGAATGTACCAATCAATTCCCAGGACTTTGCTGGATATCTGCAATGGTTTCGAAAGAGAATTCTCATTAATTTTAAAATAACAGAAATTTTATTTCGTAAAAAGGCTAAGATTAAATCTCATCATCAGCGATACCTGCCTCATCTAATTAGCACATGCTTTTTCTAAAGTACCAGCTGATGATGTCACATCAAAAAACAATGAAAGACTCATGATAGAACCATCCAATTTAGAAAATATTACATCAAGTATCATATATAATATTTCTGATTAATCATTTACATGATCAATACTGGTTTGCACTATTCATTATCTATAAAAATAATCCCTATTATTTTTGCCCTCAAATCTCCTGAAACGGCCGAGAGTCGGGAGAGTCCGCTCTCCCTCTCCGAATGTTCTCACATAGCCACGCGTAAATAGCATCTGTCAGGAAAGTCCTACTAACTGTCTTCTCGTTAAGGGAGTGTTCTCTACGAAATTGAGAGGACGAAAAGCGAATGTCCCGTGCTTTAACCGGGTTGGTGGACACTGCGAGAGCACCTAGGGGAGTTGGAAAACACTGATTCCAAACCAATGGTGCACATGGGATCCAGTATCCTGATGGGAAAAAATGGCGTAAGAATCAATCGTTGATCACCGGCTACCATGGGACTGCATCTCCTCACGATGCTCCACTGTCTTATAGATCAGACCTTTAGGTCAAAGGCTCCGGGTGTGGCTCCCTAAGAAAACCACCTGTTTTAGTTTGGGCATTTGGGAAGTATTCCAGCCCTCACACAAATCAAAGATTTGTGCGGCGCATATGTATCTGGTGCTTCCTTGTACCAATATTTATGTGTTTAAATAAATAAATAACAAACTAGTAAACAAAATCTAACTAATTATACATATTAATAGTTGAATTTCTAAAAAAAAAACTCTTACCGATCGTTAGCATAAACTCGAAACGATTTCAACCGTGATGAAAATAATTCATAATTTGCCAGTTCTATAGTCCGTAGTTGAACCGGTTGGCATACTTCTAGAACTAACCTATTAAAGGTATAAATTGTAATATACCTTATTATTATTACTACCAAACAAAAAGCAAAACATCAACTAATACCTTAAAATATGTAGACATTGAATTGAATTACCTTGTGCATACATCCAGACAACACCTCGAATAAAAATTTAATAGGATGCATTTGAACTGATAAGTGATATCATTGTTTAAAGTTATATAAAAAGCCTTTGTAGAGTGAGCGGCTTATTGAATTGCTTAGCCATTAATAATAGATTTTCTGGATAGCCTACTTTATATTTCAAAAATTTTACATTTATATCAATCCATAGTTGGTGATGAATTCTATATTGTTTAATCTGAGATTGTGATTGAATTCTACCGATCAACAATACATTTAGACCAAGCTTTCAAGGCTACTTTTATTCATAGGTAAAAGTTATTTGTAACATGGTAGTTACGAATGCTTATAGCAGATTCCAACATAATTCACTTAACGAAACAGCTTACATATTTCGATCAGACAACCAATCAATCAAGTGCAGATCTATGTACTCAGCTTTGAGTCACATTTTCTACAAAGGTTAGCGTAATCTTGGGTGGTGTCCAATTAGAATACTGACAAACGAGCTTCCTATTTGCGAGCCCGACAGGCTGGTTAATTGAGAAGAATAAAAGTTAAGAAAAAGTATTTTATTGGTCAACTGAATAGAGAAGTAACTGCCTACTCACTTATATATTCACATATATAAATAAATCCACTTATTTCCCTTAGAAATTTAGGCCACATTTTTCCACCGATGGAGTATCTTATTCCACAGGAAAGGAAACCACGGCTTGACAATTCGCATGGACTCATTATTCGGTCACTGTCTAATTGGCCTAAAGTATCAGCTAGTGACGATACACACTCTCCAAATCTAAGTAAATGAATCAGGGTTGCAGCCTGTGATCTATTGGTTGAAAGTGGACCACTTTACCCATTAAGTCACTAATGCTTTACTTCTATTTATAAATTCCAAGTGTTATACATTTGTAGAATGCAATATCAATTACTTTGGGAAATGCCATTCAAGAAAGCCTGACATACTACAGTTTTAAGAACCGAACCTGCTATTCTATGAAAAAATAAAAATAAATTAACGAAAATCACAAAAACAATGTCTGTTATGCTTAACTCTAATAATACTTCAGGACCGATATATGGAGAAACTTCAAAAATGATAGTATACAAGTATATATACATATTTAAGGTATTACCATTTTTCTTCACTACACGGAACATTCATATATTCATCATTGTTTTCATTGAGTACAGCCTCGGGGTTTTTTATCGCTCTACTGAATCCTAACATCTTTGCACCACAGGCTACAGAAGCGACATTTCTCCGAAGAGTTAAGTCAATCTTGCCCGGTGTATGAACAGCATCATTGTTAGTTATTGTTGTCGTTGCTGAGGTGGTGGTGGTAATAACAGGTTGTGAAGAAACATGAGAACTTGATTTGGAATTTGTTTCTGAGTTAGATGTCACAACAGAATTCGTTTGCAAAGACTGATGCTGTTCACTAGCAGAATCTTTTTTGATATTATCGGAAAACGAACTATGATGTGTGAAAACACTTTTTTCTGGTACATCTTGAACGATTTGATTTCTCGAAGATTTAACCGATGGATTAACATCAACGTGTGTTTGTAGTACTTTTTCGGATCCCTGAGGAATTTGTGAAGCCTTAATTTTCTGTTCAATGTTGATATCGTAGTCAGGATTGGTCACACCAACATTTTCGACAACTTCACAATCTAAATGGGAAAAATTATCAAAAACTAAGCATAAATAAGTGTACTTCATATAGCATAAATTATCGGAATCACATATAGGTAATTTTGGTGCTATTACACTCTAAATACTGTTGATATCAACCTCAAAAATATATAAATAATGAATGCAGATCACTCACCAAACGCTTGTGATCAGACTATTTATGTAAGCATTCATACTTTCTGACCGTTTACTATTATTTTCAACTGGAAAACTATTAGACTAGAAACAGTATGAATCGATTAATAGAACCTCAACTGATATTTAATGACAACGTGTTTTATTTATTTATTTATTTAAACACATATATATTGGTACAAAAGGGCACCAGGTACATATGCGCCACACAAAATAATGAAAGTAGGAAGAGAAGGGATGAAAAGATAAGGCGGGCTGAAATGTACAACCAGAAGACTCTTTCAGTTAGGAAAGTTAGAACCATTCTTTATGTAGAAAGTAAAAGAAGGTCGCAGCAGGATGGCCACTGGCTTCTATTCTGAGCCATATCTGATAACGTCTCTAGCCACTGTGTTGCACTATCTCTCGGACCCCAACCAGGGAGTCGTGAAGGACCAACGGAAGCTAGCCCTTTGCAGCTCTCTTTCATGCCACGACACCATGTCATACACTGACCTCCTCTCCGCTTTTTCCAACCAGTCCCAGGGTCGGCAAATAATGCACGACGTGGAAGTCTCTGAGACGACATTCGTAAAACATGTCCAAGCCACCGAAGTCGGTGTTTCAAGATGGTGACACCAATTGAATTATCGTCTCTGCGCCCGAACACACGATGCCGAACCTCTGCATTACTAACATGGTGTTGCCACTGGATGTCAGCAATCCTTCGGAGACAACGATGATCGAACACAGAGAGACGTCTAACATCCTCAACTCAGAGAGGCCAGGTTTTACAAGCATAGAGCAAAACTGCTCTCACCGACGCGTTGTAGATCCGACCTTTTACAGCCAGACTAACATCACGAAGGCGCCAAAGATGGCCCAGATTGGCATAAGCCGCTCTGGCTTTCATTATACGTGCATCAATTTCATCACTCACGCCACCACCAGCACTTATATAGCTACCTAGATACACGAACTTCTCAACTACTTCGATCTCCTCACCATCCAGGGTGAGTACAGGATGAGAATCCTGCCAGTCTTGTAGGAGTATTTTGCACTTGGAGGGTGCAAAGCACATGCCGTACCTGAGGACACTGATTGCCAACTGATTAAGTGCTGATTGCATGCCTTGGGCATTATCGCACAGTAAGACAATATCATCCGCATACTCGAGGTCGAGAAGTCGTTCTCCAGGCAACATATCCACACCGCCATTACTTACATCCATCAGAGCTGTTTCCAGGATGTCGTCGATAGCAAAGTTGAAGAGGAATGGTGAGATCGGGCAACCCTGTCTAACCCCACTGCTCGAATGAAACAAGGGAGAAAGGTGGTTGTATGCCCTCACTCTGCCTGAGGTGTTCGTATACAGGGCCTTTAAGATGTTAATGAACTTCTCAGGCACACCCTTCTTCAATAGACAATCCCAGAGAACAGTCCTGTCCAACGAATCGAAGGCCGCCCTGATATCAAGAAACACTACGATTGTTGGCCTGCGATAAGTATGACGGTGTTCTAACATTTGGCGGAGGGTGAAGATGTGATCAATGCATCCTCGACCAGAACGAAAACCAGCCTGCTCCTCGCGAGTCAATCGTTCTCGGGTTTTAAACAACCTACGAAGAATGATAGAAGCCAATAGTTTGGACGCGATCGAAAGTAGACTTATCCCCCGGTAGTTATTGCAGGAACAACGTGAACCCTTTTTAAAGATAGGGACGACTATTGACTCATTCCAAGATGTTGGAACACTTTCTTGCTCCCAAAGCTTTCCAAACAACGCAGTCAGTTCCTTAGCCAGAAAGTCACCACCATCTTTAAAAAGAGCCGGAGGTAAGTCATCTGGGCCCGGTGATTTATAACGTTTCAAGAGTTGGAGTTCCTTGAGGACTTCCGCCTCGTTTGGTGGATCAGTCGTCACCGGCCATGGGGGGCAGGACAAACTGGTTGATGTTGCCAGAGCAGCAGGCCAGTTGAACTGCCCTTCGAAAAATTCCACCCATCGTCCAAGACGTCGACAGATGTTAGTGATTGGCATCCCGTCATCCTCATAGATTGTTTCACTCACACCAGACTTCTTGCTGCCAGTGGCTCGGATGAGTTGGAAGAGCTTCCGGCAGTAACCAGATGCAGCTGCTGCTTCCATCTCATTAGCACGCTCCGACCACCAGGCTTCCCGGTCCTTACGCAAGTTTTGCTCGATTTCATTACATCAATCCGTTGGTGGTGGTCAATCCTTCGGCCACTGAAAAGTAAGGTGAGATTGGCGCAGACCAGGGCATGATCAGACTCCAGATAGGTACTCCAAAAGGAGCGGCAGTCTTGTACACAACCACGCCAGCGGTAGCTGATCGCGATGTGATCAATCTGAGTCCAGGCTTGGGATGCAGAGGGAGGACGCCAGGTGGCACACCGGCGATGACTGTGCCGGAAGTTAGTGCTGGCCAGAAACAGGTTGTGGTCTGTGCACAGTTGCAGCAAACGGTCCCCGTTATCTGTCCGGCGACCAACAAGTCCCCATCGGCCACCTAGACGACTCTCTTCTATGCCTAGACGCCCGACCTGTGCATTCAAGTCTCCGGCTAGTACTACAATATCTGTCGAACGCGCTTTCTGGAGAAGAACTGTTAACTGATGGTAAAACTCATCCTTGATTGCATCCGGGCTGCAATCTGTCGGGGCATAGGCGGAGATGACGAAAAGACACCGTTTCTCACGCCGGTTTCTTGTCACTTTGATGGAACTTTCTAATCTAACAGCACATAACCGACTGTTAATGGGGATCCAATCGATTAGTGCTGCCTCAGCTCTAACGCTTAGTGCGACACCAACGCCAGCAAGACCAGACGAAGATGCCATAGGGTCCCCGGATAAGCGCACGTGGAACAAGCTTTTCGAGGCGACAGATGGAGAGCGGATTTGTAGTACTTCACTAGAGTCTTGAATACGGGTCTCGGATAGACAACAAACATCAACATTAAGACCTTCCAAAGACATAGCCATCCCTATCTGTTGTCTGATCAGCATTAGTGTGCGAACGTCGAAGAAAGCCAGCTTGAACGGCGTACGTGGTTTCAGAAAGACTGCTTCAGTATTCATAATCGGTGGAAGCATTCACTTTCAACCAGACAGTGACTGGAGATCGTTTAGATAGGACAGATTTTCCACCATGGGCGAGCTGCTGCATAAGTTGAAAAGTAAGGTTACACAAATTGGGGATAAAAGGGGGTGAGTTAGCGATATGGTAAATAATAATAACAATAATAATAATAATAATAATAATAATAATAATAATAATAATAAAGGTAATAATAATAATAATAATAATAAAGGTAATAATAATAATAATGTAAATTGCCTTGCTTTTAGTATGAGCAGGGATAGTATCGTCAATAGAGTTCATCATTTCATTTATTTGTGTGTGGGCTGTGATACTGCCCGGGTGCCCAAACCGAAGCAGGTGGTTTTCTTAGGGGGTCACACCCCGAGCCTTTGACCAAAAGGTCTGATCCACAAGGCAGTGGAGCATCGTGAGGAGATGCAGTCCCATGGTAGCCGTTGACTAATGACAGGTTCGTCCACCATTCGTTCCATCAGGATACTGGAGCCCATGTGCACCATTGGTTTAGAACTCATCTGACATACAAGTGACTGAAGGATATGGATTTTGTAGATCACTAGTATAATAGAATTAAAGCGTAACTACCGGACTTAATTCTTATCGCATCAATGACACACAATTAACTTATGTCGGCCGCCAAATGACCTGATACGGTCGAGGGTCGGGAGAGTCCATTCCCCCTCTCGAATCGCTCTCACATGGCCACGCGTATACAACCACTACCAGGAAAATCCAACTCACTGCCTTCTCATAGCAGGGGTGTTCTCTACAAAATTGAGGATGGAAAGCGAATGTTCGACGCTTCAACCAGGTTGGTGTACACGGAGCACCTACTTAGGGGAGTTGGAAAACCTTCATTCCCGACCAATGGTACACATAGGTTCCAGTATCCTGAGGGTAAAAATGACGTAAGAATCAATCGTTGATCACTGGTTACCACGGGACTGCCCCCAAATGCCCTGGTACGGCCGAGAATGGGGAGTCACCTCTCCCTCTCGAAATGCTCTCATATGGCCAGCGAATATATTGCCTCTGCCAGGGAAGTCCTACTCACTGTCTTCTCATGGCGAGGGTGTTCTCTACGAAATTGAGAGGACGAAAAGCGAATGTCCTGCGCTTTAACCGGGTTGGTGGACATGGAAAGTTCACCTAGGGGAGTTGGAAAACCCTGATTCCAAACCAGTGGTGCACATGGGCTGGTTCCAGTATCCTGAGGGAACAAATGGCGTACGAATCAACCGTTGATCACCGGCTACCATGGGACTGCATCTCCTCACGATGCTCCACTGCCTTGTGGATCAGACATCCAGGTCAAAGGCTCCGGGTGTGGTCCCCTAAGAAAACCACCTGCTTCAGTCTGGGCACCAGGGCAGTATCACAGCCCTCACACAAATCGAATGAGATTTGTGAGGCGCATATTTATCTGGTGCTTTTTCGTACCAATATTTATGTTTAAATAAATAAATAAATAAATAAATGGGACTGCATCTCCTCACGATGCTCCACTGTCTTACAGATCAGACCTTTAGGTCAAAGGCTGCGGGCGTGGTCCCCTAAGAAAACTGCCTGCTTCAGTTTGGACACCTGGGCAGCATCACAGCCCTCGTGCAAATCAGTGATAATTCTTACTAGCCTCATTGCTATTGTGTGGCGCATATGTATCTGGTACGCTCTCGTACCAATGTTTGTGTTCAAATAAATAAATAAATAATTTATATTGATTGGTAGGAGTCAGTATCCGAGAAGTCTTGCATCTACATTTCGTGTGAGTCGGCAGTCATCAGTAAGGTACAACCCATATCTCAGGGAGACTAACGATATTGGTGACCGCAAGCTCACATCACCTTAGTGTCAAAGACGTTACCACTGAAATGGACAGACCGACAAATCTCCTTAAGACTGAGATTCGCATAGATTGCCTCCTCGCAAGTGGTCGACTTCATGACCATTCAGTTACCAACCAGTAATCAAGCAGTGTAAAATGTTTATAATCAAGACCATACGGCATGAAAGTGTTTCTTGACTTGACCACTTTCGTTTTCTGGTTATCGAAAACATACCTAATATGCAACTAATATAATAACAAGAACACAGCCTCTCAATATGGTATATATCAAATTTTGATAACTAACAAACAAAACTAAAACACACGAACCTTGCCCTTTACGTGGTTGTGACCTTTCTGAAACCATTGCATGGAATTCATTGAAAGTTGGAATTTCATGTGTGTTAATACCTTCTGCAGCAACTGAATCCAATGAAGGCAGTTCTTTTAGAATAGACTCCCGAACATTTTTGTGGTCAAGTCCAGCTGATTCCTGATTTGTCCTGGGAGGCATTATGGACCTACCTGATAAGTGATCTTCCCCTGAAGATTCCTGGTTGTCTGATGAATCCAGAGGCCCAGAAGCTCTTTGGCTGAGAACCACATTTTCCTGGTCCACTGAGGTAGTATGTGTCTGAATAAGACCGATTATCCACAGATTAGTAAGAGAAAATAACTCGATTACGTCAAAGTAGTTGCATGTTATGTGCAAAATACGGTTAAAATCACCCTGGAAAATCTATCCATGTGGAATCAGAGAAATAAAGATATTCAGTCGATTTTTTAATTATGAGGATCGTAGTATTAACAGGGAAGTTAAAAAAAAACTAGTTTTAAATTTCGACATAAGCTTTTCAGATTGACTGAATTTCGACCACATATATCACATTGTGTACAAGTGACGAAGATCAAAGACTTTAGTTCGCCTATTCCTAGTTGAAAGATCTGTTTTAATATGGACAAATTTGTGTATCAACAGAACTATAAAACATTCTTATATCTGCATCCCCAAACTTATAATTTATGAAGTGTCCTAAGAAACGCTACCCAGATATGACTTGATGCTCTCCAAGATAACATATATTATGTTTTGGAACTTTTTTTAACCAACGACTACATCAACCAACCATTAGGAATAGTGTTACTCTGAACTCACCTCGAAATTCCGAATCGACTGAGCATCCTTGTCACCAGGACTATGATCACTCATAAATTCAAAGTAAAAAAGTAAACCTACTTTACATTATCCTTTATGTCATAGTATTTTGATCTATCGACCCAATATTAAATTATTATAAAGTCTACTTACCGGTCGCCAACAAAGTCCTCAGCATTATCCAACCCATTGAGATCCCCTTCTGAAAGTTTTACAACTAAGCATTGAGCATATATAAGAAGAAAACTTTGAAAGGGTCACTAGATAAACAATTTAGTTGACATACAACAAAAATGACATAAAGCCCATCAGTGTTTCTGTTTATTTGAATTGTTCATGGTCATCTTTAGAGAAGTTTAAAACGACAAGGTTATTGAGCAATATTACTTGGAGTACCTTAACATCAATGGGTTGTAGAAAATGGACTTAACGAAGTTAAATATAAGACTCAAACTTTTAATGCAAGTAAGATATTGATTGTTGCTTACAAAGAGCAAAAGAAACAAAATGTTTAAGTTATCGCTAGTCCTAAAGATGACGACAAAATTTAGTCATCGGTGTGTAGCGGTAAATAAATCCTCAAAAACAATAGCTCTGTAAGTCTTCCAAAATTTGACGCTCATCACACTAGTTTTAGTGGACTCACCCAGCTAAATGCGTTCAGTCATGCATCAGAACCAGATCACGAGTGAGAACAGCGTGCTCAACGTCTCCTACAATTGCTAAAAAGATTTGATGAGTCGATCCATGATATATTGATAACCTTTCAAATATACCTTCGAACACCTTCGCTTCTGACTCCTGATTTAACTGGGTTGGCACGTCTCGATTATAGTAGGTTGTAGTCGTAAATAAATTCCCGAAATCACATCGTGCGTATGTTGATGTCAGCTATTCCGGACAGGGAATCCCATCTCCAGCATCTGGACATTGTGTTCGAAAGACTGGAAAAGCATTGCATTACTGTAAACATTCAGAGATGCCAAATTGGATCCGACTCCTTAGATTTCCTAGGACACACTATTGGTGCTCAAGGCATCCGACTTCTTTGAAGCAAAGTGGCGGCCATTCTGCATTACCCCAAACCGATCACATTTAACGGTCTTGTAAGTTTCTATAGACGTTTCATGTGCGTTCTTTATGAAACCGCTAACAGACCAACTTCGTGGAAATACGAAATCAATTAATCTAAACGACACCGCGCGAAAAGCATTCTCCACAATTAAGGAACTCATCGCCAGGGCAACCCTGCTAGCACATCAGGACACTCAAGCGCTCATTAGTATAGCCGTACACGAATTCGACTGAGCAATCGGAGGAGTCTTACAACAATGGGTAAATCACTATTGACAACCTTTACGAATTTTCTCGAGACGGTTGTTAGACACTTGATTTAAGTACAGCACGTTCGGTAGGGAACTCCTAGCTATGTATTGTGCTGTACGGCATTCCCAACATTCCATCGAAGGAAGAGAATCCACACTTTTTACTTATCGTAAACCTCTTACCTTCTCTTTAAATTCATATTCAGACAAGTACTCACCGCGAGAGTCTCGACAACTCGACTACATTTCGCCGTTTACTTCAGACATACAACACATTTCTGAAGCTAACAATGTAGTCGCAGACGCCTTGTCTCGAATAAGTTCCTTGAACAGTTTCCAAGGAATCGACCTTCTTAAACTCGCTCAGCTTCAAAAAGAAGACATTGATCTTCAGCATGAGTTATCCTCGACAACTCTTAAACTAAGTATTAGGCAGATGGGAACAGGTAAGGAAACCTTACTCTGTGACACATCTACAGGTAGGGATCGTCCAACCGTGCCGAAATATTGTCGACGCAACGTCTTCAATACGTTGCACAAACTTCCACTCGTCTTACTACGTATTCGCAATGCAGTGAAAGCTGACATTCGATACACTGCATCTCAACTCGTTTATGAAACGACACACAAACTCCCTGAGGAACTCGTGTATCCTTCATCTTCTTCAATGAACATGGATTCCAACTCCTCCACAAGCAGGCTGACAGACTCAATGCGTTTCCACTCGACTTCAATCAACTGATGTTTTCGTTCAACCTAACTTACGACATAGTACACTTGTCTTCGTTCGTCGAGACTTACATCGACGACCCCTCGAACCAGCATACGAAGGATCCTTCAAAGTTCTTCAGCGTGAACCTAAGTACTATACAGCCGATAAGAACGACAGTAACTATGGAATCAGTATCGGTCTCCCCAAAGCAACGTATTTAGAATGAAATCCTATCGATATGCACTTACATTTTCTATTTCCCCTTTCCAGGGCGGCTGGAAAAAACGATAAAAAGAACGACGAAGTTTACGATGAACCGCCTTCGTCGATTTTTCTTCGTACAATCGAACGACACGGCCCCTACACTTGTAGTATCCCATACGACAGCCGACACGCACGTTGGTCCTTCGTCAGCGTCTGAAAATAAACCTAAGACAACGCGTTCTGGAAGAAGAGCAAGATTTATAGAACATTTAAACGACTATTGCACGCAAGACACCAGAGGTTATTTTGCTTTATCTCGACTTTACCTTGTATTATATACAACAAAAAAGCTTAATAATAACCCAAAAAATTTGTAATCGCTTTTACGTTATCGCATGTGTATGAGTTTATCAACTCTTTTTTCGCTCGCTTTCTATCTTTACGTGCGTACGAATGTATTTCGATATGCACTTATATTTTCTTTTTTTTCCAGGGAAGCTGGAAAAGACTATAAAAAGAATGATGACGTTTATGAAGGACCAAAATTTTCATTGTGCTTTGTTTCCTTAATACTATATTGCATTTCATGGCCCGTTTTAGTTAGGAAAGACGACCAGACGCTGCTGAACATAATAAGCTATCAGAAGAGTGTTTACCAACGACAAAATCCGTGGGTTTGAACTTCTAGCTGGTCAAGTCGTAGGGTCATCACCGACTAACTAGGAGGGGGAGTGATCTGTAGCTGTAAATAAATCCCCAAAATCAATATCTCTTTAAGTATTCGACATTGGTTACTGTCCACATTATTTTTAATAAACTCATCTACCTAAAGGCGCTTGGTCATGCATCCGCACCAGATCACGAGTTGGAACATCGGGCTCAATGTCCCCTGCGATCATCAGCCAGATCAGATGAGTCAATCCACGATATATTGATAATCTACCAAATGTATCTTCCAACCTCCTCGCTCCTGACTTTTGATTTCACTGGATGGGCGTTATTCAATTATGGGTGTTAGTTTTTAAAGTGTTGTTAAACTCCAAATATCTGTGACTTCTTCATTAACCTGCTTGCACTGCGAAACGACGAAGATATTAAATGGCATCGCAGCATCAAGATGCTATCACGATTAAAGTAGTTGGTTTATACTAGTTTGCCACAAAAATATTGTATATGAAACACTGCAATAAGATTGACCATTCAATTTCTAAAACTCGCCTCTAACGATTCGGAAGTAGATATTGAAGAAAAATCACCTTTTTGTCATAAATAGACCATATGTTAAATCTGTAAGTTATGCGTTGAAAGTAGATTCTCACGCTTGTGAGGTATGGCCCTCATGTCCGAATTATCTACTTTGTCGAGCCTTGTAGTCTGTAAGTAATTTTCGTAATATTTCTATATGTATGCTCCACCATGTATGTATGTCCATGGTACAGTCATGTTTGACGCGGTTACAATCGAGATACTTGGAAAAGATGAGGACACATCCTACGTTAGCCATACCAAGGGAGACTAAACGATCATGAGGAGGACCGTAAATACCCCCTGTGACGGATATAGAAGCCTGCAAGAGTAGAACACTCTGCAAACCAAGTGGCAGTTGAGAGTCTGAGAGATATCCAACTAACTCCTACACTAGTTTTCAGTTATCTAAAATCCCTTCGTTTAGGAAAGTCACTAGGATATGACAACACCGAATCAATGATTGTGAAATAGCGCGCAGAAGCCATCAGAACAACGGTGTGTGACCTGCTCAGGCACTTAAGATTCATGACAACTACTAGGAGTTTGGAAGGTCACTCCAGTCTCTAAAGGCGGAGATAGAGAAAACTCAGACTTTCACAGACCAGTCGCATTACTGTAGATACCGTCGAAAAAACTGAAAGGATTGATCAATGAAGAAGTAAAGGAATATATGAATAAAAACACTAACTTCAATGTGTCATAGCACAGGTTCAGTAAATTCAGGTCCTGTGCTTTCAATCTATTCATAGGATGAGAAAGCTAAACGACCTGTTGAGAGTATAAGATATCGGGTTGTGTATATTTTGACATAGCGATTCATGTACATATCATAGCGGAGTTTAAAAGATAGGTTTCATTGCCCCACGTTTATGCTGGCCTCGAAACCGACCAAGTAAAATAAATCGCATGCAATTCGGGAGGTAGCAACATCAGTAGTTTCATGCGAAACAATCTAAGGTCCACTCTCGTTCTTTATCTTTACTAGCAGTCTTCTGGGTAAAATGATGAAAACGACGCAAATATATGGATCTTAGTAAGAAGCTAAGGGGATTCCCTTGGGCTCGTCAAAGACCTTGCGACAAAAGGGAAAAGTTATTAGACAATGAGTTGAATCTTGACATGCCGAAATGTCAAGTAATGAAAATTCGGCCTCACTTGACACAAAGCACTTACACTGTCCACCGTAATCCGCCCTCGATTGTATCTTCAGGACATGATCTTGGGTTTGTGACCGCAAAAAGCCCAGACATTATTTCAGATTACACATGGGACACAGTCAATAAAAACTTAACTCCCTAGTTTATACTTAAACAACTTGGTTCAATCACTCCAGAATTGTCCCTAAAACTGCTTAAAAGGTACGAACAGCCACATCTTGATGTTCAAAAAGTCTGTGCGCCCTCTCTCTTCATCAGAAATGTAGATCTTGATCTATTTGTTTGAGAAGCCTTTTGACGAAGCTATTATTAACACTGAGCTACCTATTGTCCAGATACGCAATGACCTTGATGATGCAACGGATGTTCTAGTTTTACAACTGGCTATCAGTAGCACCTTCTATATTCGATCGTTCCCAGTCAGATAGAAATCAGAAGTCAGACGAGAAGAGGCAGGAAAGATATATTTGATTCGTTACCAATATATCGAGGACCTTTTCTATAAGCTGGCTAATGAAACGTAGGAGCTGTGTCCCACGCCGAGTCAAAACGTGATCCGGTACAGATGCATGACCGAACACCTTCAGCTAAACAAGTCCACTTAAACAACGTGGTCAGCATCCAATGTCGAAGACTTAATGAGCTATTGATTTTGGGGAATTATTTACAGCTACAACCTAGAAGTCATCGTTAGCCAAGACTTAAAGACTGCTGACCACTGCTGTGCAATAGGCGCCAAAGGTTTTAAAACTTTATGTTCAATACGTAGGGCTTTTAGCTATATCGATGCCATGACGTTTTTGACTTTGTATACAGGGTTTGTGTGTCCTAAACTTGAATACTGCATACAAGCAGCTAGCTCCAACTAAAAAGAAGACGGTGATCTCTCGGAAAGGGTTCAAAGAATAGCAAATGAGCTGATTCCCGGAATAGCGAACCTCCCGTATGGTACTAGACTGACCAAGCTAAACCTATTTCTGTTGTCATATCGAAGAAACAGAGGTGACTTGATTAGAGCTTTCAAATTGCTCGCACCTGATATGCCCTCATTTTTCTTGTCTTGCAAAACAGAAAATTTACGAGGACACTCCAGAATGTTCACAAGCCCAGAACAAATTACTTGTCATCTGACTATCGACTTTCACACCGAATCAATAATGAGTGAAATTCATTGACTCAGCACGTGTTTGAAGCTTCGTCCGTTTACTCTTTCAAAATAAAAATGTATTAACTGGGAGAACATAATTTCCAGGACTAACACAGGCCATCAAGCCCCCACTGTCGCTCAAACTGAAACTGAAACTATTGAATGTTGGATTTACAATTTTTGCGGTACGGCTGGAATATTTGAATTACTCACGTTGTCTAGCTTTTCAGTTTGTGAGTAGTTTTCATGATATTTCTATCCGTGTGTACTTACACTACACTGTACATAAGGATCGCTTGAAACCGTAAATGTCATATATGTTTTATAGTTATTAACAAAGCCAACATGTGGGTTGTAATAATCAGTTGTATATACATAAGTCAGATCACCTGTTAACTTTTCACCTCCAGGGGAAATATTGGTCTTGTGGTGATTGATTTCCTTACTTTTTAACGCATGGACAGTCAAATGCAGTTAGGTGGTCATGTTGGTAGAAAGTATGTGTGTATAAATTGTGTTCTCTGGTTTTTGAAAAAAAAGATTGCACTAACTTCCTAACAGTCACTATTAATTTGTTTGAACTCAAATATTGGAGCAAAGGGGCATCGGATATATATGCGCTATACAAAAAAGTGTCATTTCCTTTAATTGTGTGAAGGCTATGATATTGCCCGGCTGCCCAGGACGAAGCAGGCGGTTTTCTTGGATGGCCACACTTCGAGCCTTGGCCCTGAAGGTCTGAACCACAAGGTTGTGGAGCATCGTAAGGAAATGCAGTATTATGGTAGCCGGTGACAACGTATTTATTCATACTTCATTTGTTCCTTCAGGATACTGGGGCCTATGTGCACCATAGGTTGGGAATCAGGGTTTTCCATTTATTTATTTAAACACACAAATATTGGTACGAAAAAGCACCGGATAAATATGCGCCTCACAAATCTCATTCGATTTGTGTGAGGGCTGTGATACTGCCCTGGTGCCCAGACTGAAGCAGGTGGTTTTCTTAGGGGACCACACCTGGAGCCTTTGACCTGGATGTCTGATCCACAAGGCAGTGGAGCATCGTGAGGAGATGCAGTCCCATGGTAGCCGGTGATTAACGGTTGATTCGTACGCCATTTGTTCCCTCAGGATACTGGAACCAGCCCATGTGCACCACTGGTTTGGAATCAGGGTTTTCCAACTCCCCTAGGTGAACTTTCCATGTCCACCAACCCGGTTAAAGCGCAGGACATTCGCTTTTCGTCCTCTCAATTTCGTAGAGAACACCCTCGCCATGAGAAGACAGTGAGTAGGACTTCCCTGGCAGAGGCAATATATTCGCTGGCCATATGAGAGCATTTCGAGAGGGAGAGGTGACTCTCCCCACTCTCGGCCGTACCAGGGCATTTGGGGCGCGAGAAGACAGTGAGTCGAAGTTTTGCGGCAGAGGCTAAATACGCGTGGCTAGGGAGAGTGAACTCTTCCTACTTTCGGTCGTACCAGGGCATTTATTGGATCCCTTTAAGTTATTTTAATCTGGCGCAATGTAACTATGTTGTAGTAAATTAGGGTTTTTCATACAATGATAGCGTCCTCGAATATATGTTATTAGTGTAAATACAGTGTTATTATTATTAGTGTGAATACAGTTACAAAACTAATTACCAGTTTTTCATGTCTGCATTCTTTCCGCTCGCAGCGCCATTACGTAAATGTAAGCTCATCAACAAAAAATCAGTTACACCGAATATCATTAGTCAAAATTTTCATTGGTGATATCAGTTTGGTAACTCAAGTGATTCTGGCTATTTTACTTCAATGATCCAGATATTGTCACTGGTAGAAAAATCATGGTTGTCTATTTAAAATCATTCCGCGATGACAGCCACGACAAACCTCGAACTTTTAGCAATTACCTTCATAGACAGCATAAACTCAAAGGTTTATCGAACACCAATCGTAAACTACATTTGATTTCAGATTATTTTGGCAGTCACATCAAAACAGGCTTCAGAAGCATGTAATCGGTTGCTATAAGTTCATCATAAATTCATGTTTCACGGTTTTAAATTGGCATTTTTCTGAATACAAACATTGGTACAATTGGGGCACCAAATGCATATGCGCCACACAATAACAATAGTGTGAAGTGTTAGAGAATATAAAGTGTGTATAAGGAAATGGAGAACGACAACGAACAGAACTTAGCGTGTAAGCGTGAAATAATAACGGGAGAAGCAATTCAGTTAGCAAAAGTACAACCAGAAAGAATTCATTCAGTTAAAGAAGTTACGTTAATTTTTATGAAGTAAAGAAAATTTACAGCAGGATAACCACTAGTTCCTATTCTGAGCCATGTATGATAATGTTTCTGGCCACTGTGTTGTTCCGTCTCTAGGACCCCAACCAAAGAGTCGTGAAGATCCAACAGAAGCTGGTCCTGTACATCTTTATTTCATACTATGACACCACGTCATACACTAACAACCCCTCCGTTTTTTCCAACCAGTCCCAGGCAAATAATGTGCGACGTGAAATTCTCTGGAACGACGTTCGTAAGACATGTTCAAGCCACCGAAGTCGATGTTTCAAGATAGTGACATCAATTGAATTAGCGTTGCTGTGCCCTCTGCATTACTAACATCGTTGGAGTCCTCGCGATGGTTCAACACAGTGGCTAGAAACATTATCAGACATGGCTCAGAATAGGAACTAGTGGCGATCATATTGTAACTTTCATTGTGCTTTTGCCTATTCATTTGCTTCTCCCGTTATTATTTCACGCTCACACGCTAAGTTCTGTTCGTTGTTGTTCTCCATTTCCTTATACACACTTTATATTCTAACACTTCACATTTTTTTATTGTGTGGCGCATATGCATTTAGTGCCCCACTTGTACCGCTATTAACGTGTTCAAATAAGTGAAATAAAAATTGATCAATGGAAAGAGATGGTTGTACGCCCTCACTGCCTGTTTTGTTTGTGTACAGAGCCTTCAAAATGTTGGTGAGATCCTCAGCAAACGAAAAATTGCCCTGTTATTAAGAAACAGTAATCGTTAACCTGCTAAAGGTATGTTAATACCGTAGCAATTCGGCACAGTGTAAACATGATCAACAAATTCACGACCAGAATAAAAGCCAGCTTGTTTCGTGTGACTTAGTCTTTTAATGGTTTTGATCAATCTGCGAGGTATGGTAGTTTGGACGCGGTCAAAAGTAAACTTGTTCCCCTTTAGTTGTTACATAGATGATGTAAGCCTTCTCTAAAGAACAGGAGGTAAGTTGTCCAGATTTATTCCGCTTCAAGCGTTTGGGTTCCTTCTAAACTTTTCGCGATAGGCTTTTTAGTTAACACTGTCAAAGGAGCCTTCTATTCAAACAACCTTTATTTGGAATTCAGTCGATTAGTGAAGCCTCCGCTCTGGTACTTACTGCAATAGCAGCGCCACTTAAACCAGGGAGTGTCCGGTTTCGCTCACACGAAACAAGTTTTACAAATCGACAGATGGAGAGCGGATTAGTAGTACCTCACGAGGGTCTTAGGTAAGAGTCCCGGATATACAACAGACGTTTATACCAAGGCTTCCCAAAGACATAACCAAATTTGTTGTTCCATCTGCATCAGTGTGGAACACTGAAGATGGTCATTTTGCATAAGACGTAAAAGCATCCGAGATCGCTACTACACACCGCGTCGAAATCGAGTGATTATGACAGAACTCTATCCATAGACAAGCGGCTGGATGAGTTGGAAAATAAAAGAATACATAAATTGGGACTGAAGAGTAGTAGATAAGTAACGGAATGTGAAATAACAACGAATGCAACAACACAGTTGTGGATATTATTTGCATGAATAACGAGGAGGAAGATCTTGAAAATGTTATTGTCAATATTGTATATAAGTCGAGACACTACCCGAATGTCCATACAAAGGTGGAGGTTTTTTAGATGCATTCGACTGTAGTGTAATTCACAAGGCAGTATGTCAACATAAGATACAGTCTTATTGTAGCCCTTGACCAAGATAGATTTATACACCATTTATTCCTTCAGGATCCAAGAGCCCATATATACCGGAGTTTCTCTACTCCCCTAGGTAGACCTTCCGTATCTACGAACTCAGTTAGAGCTCCGGAATTTCATTCACTTTTCTTTGGACTCATAAGTAGTTTCGTATGTCATGTTTGGCTAAGGACTGAGTATATACGCCTGCACTAATAAGTCACATTCGTTTATAAAATACTGTAGCTATACAATACTAAAGGTAATCTGTAATGTGTTAATCGGTAACTAATTTGAATTATCTACTATCTTTATGTTTGTCCATTAGGTAGCTGATATTATTTAACCTATTCATTTTGTTCGCATCCTCTGTAAATTCCATTATATTTTAGAATCAACAATGTCTAGTCAACCGATATCCAGACATCGGAAACAGCACTTTCCTCGTTTAGAACGTCGGAAATTAATTACTCCTCTATCTCAGAATCTCCCTCTCCAAGAATATGAATCAGATGAAGATCCAGTTTATATTTCTAAGCATCCACGAAGTTCATTAATATCCACTAGTCATAAACCATTCCGTCCAGTCAAAACAGATTCAAAAGATAATAATGGATCGTCTGGTCGTCCTGATAAACGTGCTAGAGATGAACACAATGAACAAGAACGTAGTCGTCGACGTGAACTAGCTGTTATTTATGAATTAATTCGATGTAGCTTTTCGAATGATGATTTACGATATCTTGGTCATTGTAATGGCCCTAAATCAGTTGATAAATTATCATATCCACAAGTTTTACAAATAGCTTACCAATTATTACGTGAAGAACAGCATAATTTGACTTTATTCGAAAAATCTTTAAACGATCTAAAATTAATTGAAAAAGAATTTGTTCGTGCCGGTCTCCCAGTTCCTGAAAGACCTAAATGTCCTTATATATTAGATACTTATCGAAAAATGGTTCAACTTGTCGATAATTTACTACGTCATGATAAACTGTAAGTAATCTATCTAATTTTAATGAAAAAACAAAATTTCCTTGTTAGTTCTTTTTCCATCTTGTCAGTTTTATTTCATCAAGCTTAAGTTTGGGCACCTGGGAAGTATCACAACCCTCACACAAATCAAATGAGATTTGTGCGGCGCATATGTATCTGGTGCTTCCTTGTACCAATATTATGCTGATCTTGCATTATGCCTTCACCGTTTTAATGAAGACTTGTTAACTCTATGATATATTAACATCAAAAATGGGATTTATTTATCCTTGTTTACTTCATATTTATTTATCTGAAAATAATCACTTTAAAGTTATATGTACTTTAAATGATTCTACTAATTAGACTTGTCTCAACGTCCAAATAATTAACTAGGCAGTCGTTTTATATGTTATATAACATACACTTATGGGCCAGGATAATTTTGCACTGGTTTTCAGGAGAACCAGACACCATCCAGACTTTCATGCGGCAACGAAACAGTACAGCTCAATCCCGTTTAACAGGGGAGCCAGACACTTCCCAGGCTTAACCCAAGCAGTACAGCTCAATCCCACCTTATAGGAGAACCAGACACTAAATAGGTTTCAACGCTACAATCCGAACAGTACAGCCCAATTCTGTGGCGCAACCACTCAGGTACCAAACACCCTTTATATGTTCTAACTATTTTTTTTTAACATATGTTTCTGCATAGACTTTCTCTGATTAGCGATAAAGCTTTTAGATCATTAACCTAAGAGATCGTACTAATTTTTAAAAAAATTAGATAAGCCCCAGACGGTTCGATGGTATGTTGCATAAACTGGTGTTGTAATTTCACTGGATTTTTTTATTTATAATTGATTCATATATATGTGTCATTCTGTTCTAGTATCCTTTTGTTTACAATAAGGGGTTTGTGGAGATTGTTAGGTTTCATGGTTTACATCATGGAATGATGTAAGTTATATGGCCATTCAGAACTAGAAGGCAATAGACAGCTGCCTAGTTTTAACATGAAGACTCTTCAGCAGTGTTTATCTGGTACCTGAAGGTCTTGGATTCGGTCTACGATAGAGTTTTGCATAGCAATTTCTTTTCGCTAAATCATTCAAGTTGATAGTAATATTGTGTCAGCTATCATACGGAAACTTACACTCAACTGGAATTCCAGTCATGTTAACAATATTTCGAATATCGCTCTACTTTTCGGCCGTGCGTAACAATTTTATTTGTGCATGCTAGAAAATTATTAAAATATTAACCTTCCTGTTTAAAATATTCTGCCTTATTGAAACTAATTAGTTCGATCTCGTTGTTTTGGTTAGTTTTAGTGTACATCACTTACTTACGCCTGTTACTCCCAATGGAGCATAGGCCGCCGACCAGCATTCTCCAACTCACTCTGTCCTGGGCCTTCTTTTCTAGTTCTATCCAATTTTTGTTCATTCTTCTCATATCTGTCTCCATTTCTCGGCGTAATATGTTCTTTGGTCTTCCTCTTTTCCTTTGACCTTCAGGATTCCATGTGAGGGCTTGTCTTGTGACGCAATTGGGTGATTTCCTCAAAATGTGCCCAATCCACTTCCAACACTTCTTCCTGATTTCCTTCGCTGGAATCTGGTTTGTTGTCTCCCACAGTAACTCGCTAAAAAAACGCTAACCAGTTTACATCACTGACTTGTAATAAGAATAATAATCTGTAGTAAAGGGAGTCGCTTCTTATTTTTTATTGAACTATGTTTTTCCTATACCCCTTTCTTCTGAAGCTACTTATTGTGTATGATTTTGTACTTTGTGTGTATTGCATTTGGACCGATTGAATTAAACAGTAAGTTTATGTAACGTAGTTATACATGTTCTATGGTTTTTTGATTAAATTCAACGGTATTTCTTCGTTTAAACCGTTCATAGCATTTGTATACTGTTGGAATTCATTGTTATCAGACTTAGTTTTCGTTATATTGGTTGCTTTTTACGTCTTTTTTTAAAGAACAGTCAACTGTTATCACAGTATTTGAGCGCCGAGTTGATTTAAGACATTAACTAGGAAGAATATGTATTTGTAAAATCTCAGCGAAGTGAATTTGAAGTAAATCTAACGTTTCGCCTGGCAATCAAGGAATAATTCTCATAGTTGAAAGCGTGAATCAATTGAAGCTAGACCACCATGGAAAACCTGGAAGCACTGGACGACCGTTTCGTCCTATCATGGGACTCCTCCGCAGTGCGTATTCGCGAGATTCGAACCCAGGACCTACCAGTCTCGAGCCAGATCCCACAAAACCCCTTTTGATAAGGAATAATTCCCTGAAAAAGCTTGGACCAGATTGCCAGTCGAAACGTTGGATTTACTTCAAATTCACTTCGCTGAGATTTTGCAAATATGTATTATTCCTATTTAAAGTCAACGGTTATGTTTAAATTGTTTTTCACTTATATTTAACTTTTAATCAAGTTTATGATTTTCCATTGATCTTGGTTGTTTTTTTTTACAAATTATTTTCAACAGAATATTGTGATTTTTAATTTCTAGTGCTCGATCTGTTGATGGTGTCTATGAAGTGACTCCTGCAGAACGTGCAGCTATTGGAGATCAAGAAATGTCATTTCTTTTACCACGTTCACATCATACATCTACGACTACTACTACAGATTATTGCGATCGTATTAGAGGACGAAGATCGTTTAATCTTACTAACCGGTCAAATTATACGGAGAATTATTTAGAACGAGATGATACTAGAAGTTGTTTTTCGAATTGGTCCAATGTTTCTGCAGCCCAATCTAAATTTAAACGATCCTCTTCTTCAGCATCTCTTGATTATGGAGCAGAGGATGACACCGACTCAAATCTTATACCACTTACACCTCCATCGAATAATCATCATCTTCGTAGTACTACTTCTAGTTGTAATAATAATACTACTATTACTACTAATAATAGTAGTAGTACTAATAATAGTAACCAATGGTTAGGTGATCCTGAATTCCTGGATATTTTATCAGAATTCAAAGAAGATCCTGATATTAAGAATGAATTTCAAACACCAGTTGATGATGATGTCGATGTTGAAAGTCTTTTGTTGAATTTTGTCCCGGATGAAACACTTAACTAGAAAATTGTCCTCCTTTTATTTGTTTTAAATAAAAGTGCACATGTATTATGTATATAGAAAAATTATATGTGTATTCCTATTTTTTTTGTGGCTTCTTATCATGTGCCTTCTTATTATTATATCTATTGTAGTTTTTTCTTCCATTTCTTTTTTGCTACCGTTTATTACATCTTATTGTTACTATGACTACTATTATCCCCCCCATATCGGGTATAATACTATTAGCTTGTTTTTGGTATTCCTTTCTTTGATATTCTTTTCAATTCAATAGTATCTATGTATGTAATTTATAATAATAATTATTATTATTAATTTAGTCACCAACAGTGTTTCCTAAGTGTATTCAACAAGAACTTTACCACATTGGAAAAAAATGCTTCGGTTACCATGTTCGTGTTCTCACACACATACACACATTTATATACATATATATATATATATATATATATATATATATATAAATCATGTTTTTGGCAGACATTGATTGTGGATCAAAGTAATTACCTTGTGTTTTGTTTTGTTTTCTCTTTTTTTTAATATTTATTTTACACTTACCGTTGTAGTAATAGTAGTACTAGTCTTAGTGTGTGTATACATATACACGAAATCATTCCGAATTCACATTATTATCAATGTAATATAGTAAATTGTGTTTCATAAAAGAGACAAATGATAGATGATGAGTAATAAGTAGTAGTTTTCGAAAAAAACAAACAGCATGAACTTGTACAAGATTATATTTTAAAGATTGCATTCCTGTGTACTAGCACCTTCGAGCGGTGAGGTCTCTTAGTACCAGGCATTCATCGAAGATCTTTAGGTCTTGTTGCGAATCACTGGGTTGGAATTTGTTTGGATTATTTTAATATCTGTTAATCTACGACATTGCGACTGTCATCCAGTTTCACAGGTGATAACTGTTTCACCCTCGAGATATCTCAAACTCCACTAGTAACAATCCTTTGAACTAAATTACAATAGCATCATTATAAAATAGGTGTTAGTAAGATTTGCTGAACAGTACAATGTTTACCCTTGACTATATTCTTCATACTAATAAGCTTATGTTAAGGTTACAAATAAATTAAAATATTCATATTATCTCCATGCATCTTTTCTTGATTAGCTTTGTCGTTGACATGCTTTTAGAGATAGCACTTTCATCTCCAGGAGTTGGACTTTTACTGGGAGACTAACTTGTTGACTTAGAATACGCCGATGACATAGTTCTATTTGATGAAGACGCTGACAAAATTCAGAGTCTTCCGACCACTTTAAGTAACAATCCAGGCATGTTCGGTATGCGATTCTCCCCCTCGAAATGCAAAATGTTATTTCAGGATTAGGTTGCATCGGCACCTAAACTAATGAAAGGGAGTGAATTAGTTGAGCGTGTAGACCGCTTCATTTATCTTGGGAGTCTAATAAGCCCTTGTGGTCTGGTATGTGACGAAATTTCAGCAGGGATACAGGAGGCTCGTCTAGCCTTCGCCAACTTGCGTCATTTATGGCGTAGGCAAGATATCCGTATGGCAACCGAAGGACGGGTTTACTGTGCTGCAGTTCGTTCCGTCCTATTTTATGGCAGCGAAACATGGCCGGTAAGAGTACAGGATATTCGTAGGCTGCTAGTATTTGATCATAGGTGTCTTCGAATCATTGCTTGTATATTCTGGGACCACCGAGTAAGTAATGCAGTCGTTAGAAAGCGGGTACTAGGTAAAGATAGCAAATCGATTGATGAAGTAGTGAAACTTGATCAGTTGAGATGGCTGGGACAAGTGTTACTTATACCCAACCACCGACGTGCAATGTTTTATGGCGTAAGAGTAGGTTGGAAGAAAGCTAGGGGCGGCCAGACCAAAACATGGCATAAATCCATGTAGTCATTGACAATGGGACTGTGGGTTAGAGACCTTGAATGACATGGCTCAAAATCGTTTGCAATGGCGAAGTTGCATCCACTCTTTGTGTTCTCCCAAATTCTAATCTGAATTCTTCCTGTCCTTATCTTTTTTACTCCAAATTTATTTAACTAGAATATACTCCTTTAATTAACATCTTCAAACCCTAGTCTTTCCGATTACTGCTTATACCCTTACTACTACCACTATGGGATTTGGATGGACAACTGCATCTCTGTGTGCTGATGTGGTATGGCAACTCGAACTGATGTACGTACGTACGAAGTTCTACGTTGTGACTGACCATGCATCTTTTTAAGGCACTTAGATTGTGTGCTTTCCTTGTAATCACAAATGCGGGATCCGTAGCATTTATCTTCAGTGATGATATCTATATTACACTAAAGTAAAAGAATGAAAATATCATTATCCTGCCTTTTTGACTGTACTTAGAGAAAAGTTGCGAGGAATATTCGTAATATCTACCAAACGTATTCAAATGTACACGTAAGTAGCTAAGTAAATGTCGTTTAGTGGGTACAATGTATCGGCTGTATCAGTTTCCACTTTATTACAAGCCCTTTTCTGACATGTGTCTGAATAATTTTCTTGCATTACATCAATTGTAACGCTTCGGATATGGTCCTGACAAAAAGTTTGCAGTTTTCTAAACTGTTGGTATCCTGTACAAAAATCAATATGCTCTAGGCATTCGACTTGACTAGAGATTGAGTATTCCTAAGGCGTGAAGGTGACACTAATAAACCGAATTACCATTGAGAATATAACAGTTCACGTGTGGTTTCGTTCTCAAATAAGTCAACTTAAACAAGAACTGGGTATGCTACTACCAGTGTTTAGATAAGAATCAATCAATTTTCTACACTACTGTTAGTACCAGGGAAAGTTTTTAAGAGTGTTGGTAAACCGGATGAAAGACGCCCAACTTCGAGATCTATAGGCTGGATTCTGCTAGGATCAGTGATGCACAGGCCAACTTGCGACACTACGGATCATCGTTGAACAATCACTATACATCAGCTTTATTAACTTTGAGAACACATTTGACCGTGTGAACAGATGAACATTGTGGAAACTCCTTCGACACTATGGATTTCCTGAGCAGATTGTCAACATTATCCAAAACTCATACGACGGACTGCAGTGCATGAAGGGCAGCTGACAGATGCATTTCCATTAAGGACCGGAGTCAGACAAGGTTATCTACTCTTTCTTCTGGTGACTGACTGGATTATGAAGACATCGACATCTGAGGGGAAACACAGAATACAATGGACAACTCGGAATCAATTAGATTTGGACTTCGCAGATGACCTAGCCCTCCTATCTCATACACACGAGCAAGTGCAGATAAAGACAACTAGTGTAGCAGCAGCTTCTACATCAATAAACCTCAACACATACAAAGGAGAAAACAAGATCCTCAAATACAACGTGGAGAATACCAACCCAATCACACTTAATGAAGAAACCCTGGAAGATGTGGGATCTATCACGTATCTGGGAAGCATCATCGATGAACAAGGAGGATCTGATGAAGACGTAAAGAAGAGGATTGGAAACACAAAGAGAGCATTCCTACAATTGAAGAACATATGAAACTCACAACAACTGTCGACCAATATCAAACTCACAATCTTCAATACGAACGTCAAGACAGTTCTACTATATGGAGCTGAATCTTGGAGAATTACCACAGCCACCATCAAATTGGCACATGTATTTATACACAATTGTCTACGTAAGATATTGAATGTCTGTTGAACGGATACCATCATCAACAGCCTACTGAGAGAGAGAACAAACCAACTTCCGGCTGAATAGGAAATTAGGAAGAGGATAGGACACACATTGAGGCAATCACCAAACTGCATCACGAGATAAGGGCTAACTTGGAATCTTGATGGGAAGCCGATGAGCACACTGCGTTGAGAGATGGAAGCAGATATGAAAAGGATGAATAGTAATTGGAAAAGATTGCCGAGAACAGGGTTTGATGGAGAGTGCCGGTGGGTAGCCTATGCTCCTCCACGAGGGGTAACTGGCGTAAGTAAGTACATCGTTAATAAAATAGGCTGGTATCATTAATCATTCAACCGGAATCCAATCTCACATATTTCTATAGTACTTCTACGATTTATTTATTGTGATATAAATGTTAGGAGTATTGCAATTGGTGAAAATGTTTACAAACGATTGTGTTGTTTTTATTCATTATTGAATTGCCTTAGCAACTATCTGAGAACGCATTCTAAATCTTGGTGAAATGATTTTGATTTTAACTCAGTAACCAACCCTTATTTGATCCGAATGATAAAATCAGCTGATCACCTCTTACACACGTTTCCGTTTAAACAGATAAACACATGATTTTCGTGATCAATCGAACATCAATGGTTTTATTACATAAATAGACTGTAATTTACAACATCGAAATTGATATGTAGCAGAATATTTTCTATATGAATGATCTTGTATTGGACAATTAGTTCTAGATGGACAATGTATACAATTCATTACCAGAAGGGGTTTTTGTGGAGATTTAGTAATTTTCATAGTTGAAAGCGTGAGCCAATTGAAGCTAGACCACCAGGGAAAACCTGGAAGCACTGGACACTAAAGTGTTAGGTTAGTGTCCTGTTAGTTAACACTTCAGTCTTTTTGTGGTTAGAAACCATATCATATTATCATTGATCTACTCAAATATTGACTAACCTGCTAGACTGGGTATATTGTACATAATTGATTAGTAAGTAGCAATCAAGTTGTCTATCCTTTAGTTCTGAATTCATTTAGAATTGTTTGTTTGAATATTGCCAATGATGTTTTAAGACTGCAACTGGTCAGTCTCAAATCAATGGGAATATTCAAACAAATAATATTAAGTGAATTCAAACTTCACCCCATTGGACAAGCAAGTGGCTATCAGGACTCAGTAGCTGAGTGGGTAACACGATGGTTTTTGAAGCGAAAGGTACTGGATCCCAGTCCCAGAGTGAACATCAGCAACTCTGAGATGCCGGTACATCCAGTTGACGAGTCCCAAATAGGACGAAACGCGCGTCAAACTGTATTCCACTGTTATCCACTATCCATCTTTGCTTACCATGTTTAACCATAGTAAACATGAAAAAAAGCGGATGAAACTATCAAGTCATTTACATCGATTATCACATTTGAACATCATCGATAGACATTTTTCAAAATTATGGACTAGACAAATAGAATAATTAATATAATCATATGCTCACTAGTAACTTCGAGAAGTATATCTAGGAGCTCTAGTGAGAAGCAGTGACCAGTGGAGCTCAAAACCACGTCTGTTGTGAGATAGGAACTCACTGAAGACAATTGGTGAATGGTTGCTCAACTTCGTGGATTGGTTGAAGTTAGACATTAACACCGTTGGATGCCGGCTCAGTGGTCTATCGGTTAAGGGCTTCGGTTCGAGACTGGTAGGTCCTGGGTTCGAATCTCGCGAGAGAGGGTTCGTGGATGCGCAATGCTGAGA